TTTAAAGCCACCTTTGTCCCTCTATTCTGGGATCATTTAGGAGCCTGTGTGGATCCAAGTGTAAATTACAGCAGCCTGAGGCTACTTTGACATGTGCTCTGCTTTCCATGGATTCCTATGGGCCCTGGGAAGAAGAAAATAGCTGTAAAATGGTGGACTCTGGTCCTGCCTCCAGTCTCCCTTCTGTAAAACAGAGTCTTTATGCCAGCTAGGAGGGCCCCTGTTGGGGGTGATTCTTGGTGGGTTCTCTCCATTTTAAGGCTCCTTCATGCTACCAGAGTGTTGCACAAGGGCCTTAATGTCCATGAGGCTGTGTATTTGCAGAGCATTATAGGTGCTGGAGTCAACTGAATAGCATGAAAAATACATTTGTAGAAGTTTTTTTGGGGGGGGGGGGACGGACAGGGAGGTTGCTAAAAACTTTTGAGCAAAAATATTCCAGATGGATCTAATTGGTTATTTATTTTGCAGGGAAGGGTGTGGAGATACTGTGTGCGACACACTCACTTTGTTAGGGCGAGTTCTGCCTACGTGTAGTTTCTGTTTCCCAGGCAACTGTTAACCTATTGCAGAAGCACCCTGTTCTGATTTTTTTTTCTTTTTTTATATTTTCCCTTCCCCAGTCCTGACTGATCTCATGGACATCCTGTATGAGGTACCCAAGGAAGCCACAGACTTTGGAAAGAACAGCATCAGCTATCAGGGATTCCTCTTTCGTGAAAGGAAACTTGGTAAGGTACAGGCATGCACATAGGCCTCTGTCTCTGAACAGCATCTGTAGTGTATTGAATTGAATTGAATTCTGCTTTAAAACAATCGACTGCAAATTCCTACTGACATGGGGTACAGGAAAGGATTATGGTAATTCAGCTGAGAGTGAAAACAAATGAACCATTACTCTTTTCTGTGGCTTCATTATATTTTTGCAAATGTTAGTATGTTTCATTGATGTTTCTCTTCCCCCAGTACTGTCCTTTCTCTGACTACTGCGCTGGATATGATTTTGATTAATATATTAACTAACTGAAGTTACTGTTTTGTGAAGTCATTTTGGCTCTGTTCCTTTTCTGTGGCTCTATCATTGGTTGCGGTCAGAGACCTTGGAGCACGAACAGTACAAGACTGATTAAAGTGCCCCTCTAATAATCTTTAGTGTGTGAGTGTGCAGCTTCTGTGTTTTTAAAAGGCTTGAGACCATATTTCACTCAACATGGTTTCCCTTATCATATTTCAGATGCAAGATTTAATGAGGAAACAAAAGGGTTCCAACTAAGCTACAGCACTTAAGAATGTAAGAAATAATTCTTGACCTTAACACATTTTGTGGGAGAGAGATTTCTTTAGATGAAAGCCTTGAGGTGAAAAAAGTAGGCACAGGTTTTTCAATCACTGAATTACTTAGACATGTAAATTAGAACATGGTCTCAAGCCAGCATGCAAATTTTACTTATAATTCCTTTTTTCATTTTCCTGTCCTCATCTGTTTGTTCACAAGGATTGTCCTGAGATGATCTCTTCCTGCTCCTGCTCCTCCTCCTCCTCTTTTTGTATTCTAATGTTTCTGTTCCCCTCATTCTTTTAGGTGCAGTTTGACAGAGAGACATGATATGTAAAACTAGCAAGAATGCTCAGAGTTAAGAATCGCAATAGGGGCTGAAGATAAGAAAGTTGCTTATTTGACAGCTTTCCTTGTGGTGGATTCTCCTTGCCTTCCCCTTGGGTCATTGTTTACTCCTGTGCATAGTGAGACATTTATTCTGTTTATTGCGTGTGCTTTACACTGGTACAGATGACTGGGCAAGGTTCATGGCAATAAGAATCAGTCTCCTTCCTTATGATTGGTTAGAAAACACAACTAGTTGAAGCATCAAGAACAGGAAGTTTGAGGGTAAAATAAATCTGATGGCATTTAGAAGGGGTGAGAGGTCATTTTATTGCACGCTATGGAAAGATGAAATTCTACGTGTCACATTATTAACCTTCAGTAATTGTGCTTTCCCGTCATTACTAGTTCACTAGACTAGTTCCCTTCTTAACCACTAGACTGTATTACATGATTCCAGATTTAAAAGACTGGCTTTTGATATACCACTTTGGTGCATCATATTTCATCAAAATGTTTTCTGAGAGGATGACTTGAAAATGTCATAGCCGTTATGAGAAGGATCTTCATTTTTTCCTTAAAATAAGCGATGGGGAAGCTTGCAGCAGCAACTGGCCATCTTGAAAGAGATGAACAATCTGAAACGAATACTAGTTCATGCCGAGGGAATGGTTGCTAGGTGTGACAGTTAGTAGCTATGAACTTAATGAGACATGAGTAGGGCTGTGGAGGAGGAGGAGGAGGGCTCTTTGGAATAAATGAGTAGGAAAAAAAAGAGTAATGCCAAGTTTCCAAAGTTTAATGCGACTGTTTCAATTAACTCTTTCTTGCTCAGAAAACAGTCAGTGCTCTGCTATAGTACATTGTAATTTCCCTGTCTGTAAGATGTTTTGCGTCAGGTAACAGTAGATTTTTGGTCCCCTGCCCTTATATATAGAATATATAATTTAGTGTAAGTGAAAAATGCACAACTGGCAGCTGCTAGGAAAGGAGCAAGTATAGGACCAGATCCCCATCTTCCAATTTCCTGGATGGATGGTAGCTCCCTCCATCAGTCAGAAGGGAGTTCAGACTTCATAGTCCATTCCGATGCTTCCCTGCCTCTTTACTGAGACTGGGTATCAGAGAGTGCAGGGTCTAGGGTTGTTTCTGTGATTTTCAGATCAGATCCTGCAGAAATTATTGGCCTACATTTTTGAAAGTGGTCAGTGATTTTTGTTGCCCCTGTTTTTTGGGTGCCTAATCTGAGATGGTTTGAAAGGGGCCTGAATTTCAGGAATTGCTGCACTCTTGCCCTTTGGAAACCAGGCCCCTTTAAGATGACTTAAGTTTGGCACCCAAAAATTAAAGTTTCCTTTGAAAGGGCAGGCTTTTTGTCCTTACGAGCTGGAACCCCCTTGGCTTTGATGAGACTACTTCAAGTAGTAAACACTGCATGCAGTGGCTAGTAGAACAGTCAGATTGTAAGCTGGACTCTGGCTCTAGCTGTCCAGCTGAGAAATCCCTGTGTTGGTGAGGAAATACTCACTTGCATAAAGCCAGTACAACAGGTCCCAGGGCCAGCTACCCATACCTACCATCACGTAGTAGATGATGTGTCGGGGCAAAATGGATTTGGCATAAATCTATATTGCACACTGGGGCTGGCATAGGCCACTCCACAGAATCAGGGACCCAAAACAGACTCTCTGATGTGACCCCAACTTTCCTTATGCCCTCCTGTACTGATCAAAGATCATCAGCAGAAAAGGATCTGTCCCTTGTTCTCTGGGAAATGGATGTAGGGCATGAATTCCTTTTGCGTGGGTTCCTTCAGATAGTAACTGCTGTCAGCCAAAGCCAACTGGACATGTTCAGATAGCCATTCTCTTCAGCATCTTTCTTCTGCTTATTTAGATGTTAACTCAAAACGCTCAGTGATGATCTGATGATCCTAGGTGCATCTGCCCTCACAATTCCTTTTTGGATGCAGAGAGTTTGAGATTCGTTTGAAAAATGAGTTTGTTATTTTGGGCAAGTTACTGTGGGATTTAAAAAGATAAACAAACAAGCCATGCTTGCCCTCTCTTCGTTTGAGCATGACTTGAACAGCCTTTTGAATATCTTTTACAAAACCTGGCAGCAGGATCAGCAGCCTAGGCCAAGTATAACTGAGGCCCACAGTATGAAACCTCAGCTCACTTTAGAACTGTATTGCTTGGACCCGTAGGCAGCGTTTGAGATTGACCCAGCCTTTTCTCTGGCAATTTTCTGGATTAGTGGGCAATAATTTTCTGTCAGGCGAGATGCAAATTATTCTTACCACCTAAAGAACCGACGGCCATAAGTCATGCAGATAATCAGCTCGTGTATGACTCATTAGTGATGTTATTGACGCAAATTTGTCCCCCGTACTTTTGCCATTTACACTGTACGTAGGTGATAGCTGAAAGTTTAAACATCACCAATTATGTGACCATTTTTGGCCAAGATAGATGCAAAGTCACTGAGGGTCTCAACCACAGAAAGTTTTTAGGGTGGACAAATGCACACCCTTGGTGCTTGTAGTTACAGGAGTGGCGGTGAAAGTGTGAGATGTCTCGCTCATGATCTCCTATGGGATTGACAGGATTAAAGATCAGCAGATGTGACTTGAACCCAGGGTGCAGCAAGAGCCATTTGTACAGAGTTGCTTTTTAACTCCCCCAAAAAAATAAACGCTTGCATGTAATACCAAGCGTAAGGGATTGGGGGAGAGGTTGGTTTCACTGTTAGCGATCCTTCCCAACACAAGATGCTTTTGTTTTTGAAGAAGGAGGATGTATAGCTTATTCAGACCTGCACCCATGGCTTCCTCTTTTGTTCTGACATTTGGCTCCCCTAAAAATTCCCTTCCAAGTTATATTTTCCCCTGGTGTTGCCATCATGTTGCTTGTACTCAGAGCTGCTCAGGCAGGTGTGGCTATGTTGTTTAGTCGGGTGGCTCTTCATGTTATGAAGCCTGAGGGGAAGTGGATAAGCTGCCCTCCATTGGCACTGGGGCTGTGTCTACACTGCAAGGAAAAGTTGGAAAAAAATACGCAAATTGAGAACTGCAATTTGCATATCTTTTTCTGCTTTTTTTCCCCGAAAGAGGCTTTTCCGAAATCTGGCCCATCTACACGAGGCCAAATTTCGGAAAAACCTCTTTCGGCACATCCCTTCTTCCTCATACAATGAGGAATATAGGGATGGCAAAAGAATGTGTCTGCTTTTTCAGAAATTGTTCTGCAAAAGTGGACGCATAAGCTCTGCAGTGTAGACATAGCTTGGGAAAGAGGTACTGTTTCTGGCCCTGGATCTGACCAAGTTAACGTGGAATCTGTGCTGATTGGTAGAATGAGAGAAGGAAAGTCTGAAACTGGAGAAAGAAGAGAGGAAGGAGCTTCACTCCCCTTAGCTGAAACTAGCTGCTGCCTATCCAGGAAAGCTAATGTTTTGTTTTTGGTTTTGTTTTTTGTTCCCTCTTTTGGTTACAGCAGCTTTAAATAGCTGGCATAATATCAAATAGAAGTTGGCTGAATGGGTCAGCAAATGCGGATGAAGTCTTTAAAATGTAGAAGTTCTGCAAACTACACGGTGTGTGGAGATAACATGGATAAGAATAGTTATAATAGAGATAAAAGTGATAAGAATTCCAATTCCAGGATTGGTCAGTGTGGGTGAGGTGAGAGATCCTCGGTACAGAACAGTTTAATAAAGCAAATAATAATTGAGTCAGGACCATGGAAACCACTGCTAGTGCTATTGTTTGTTTAATAAAATAACTTCCCTTTCAGCAGGGGGTTGGCTGGAACCAAGAATATGATTTGCATGTTGTGACGCATTGCTACAGTGTGGGGCTTTCCATTTCTCTTCACTTTCAACATAGGTTCACTGGTTCAGAGTCACATCCACTGTTTGTCTCCCTGCCCACTTCCTGTTTGGCTCGTGGGGCTGTAAGTGTTGAATTTTGCAAGAAATCAGACATTTAATTCACCGTTCTTCTCTTGCTGTTTTGAAGTGTGCTACTTCCTTGGAACAGCAGGGTTTAAAAATGATTTGCTGCTCTTGTGACTTGTAGGAATGTATTGGTGCTTTGCAAACGCAAAACAGGCAAACTAAACCTTGCTGCCAAGAGCCTTGAGTTCAGAAACAAAACTTATCCTTACCTGTGTCTGCCCTGTAGAGATGACATACAGGCAGTCCCCGGGTTACGTACAAGATAGGGACTGTTGTTCTTAAGTTGAATCTGTATGTAAGAACTGGCGTCCAGATTCAGCTTGTTGAAACTGATCAGCGGCTGATTCCAGGAAGCCGGGGCAGCGGCTGACTTGGGGACGCCTGGGGCTCTTAAGTTGAATCTGTATGTAAGAACTGGCGTCCAGATTCAGCTTGTTGAAACTGATCAGCGGCTGATTCCAGGAAGCCGGGGCAGCGGCTGACTTGGGGACGCCTGGGGCTCTTAAGTTGAATCTGTATGTAAGAACTGGCGTCCAGATTCAGCTTGTTGAAACTGATCAGCGGCTGATTCCAGGAAGCCGGGGCAGCGGCTGACTTGGGGACGCCTGGGGCTCTTAAGTTGAATCTGTATGTAAGAACTGGCGTCCAGATTCAGCTTGTTGAAACTGATCAGCGGCTGATTCCAGGAAGCCGGGGCAGCGGCTGACTTGGGGACGCCTGGGGCTCTTAAGTTGAATCTGTATGTAAGAACTGGCGTCCAGATTCAGCTTGTTGAAACTGATCAGCGGCTGATTCCAGGAAGCCGGGGCAGCGGCTGACTTGGGGACGCCTGGGGCTCTTAAGTTGAATCTGTATGTAAGAACTGGCGTCCAGATTCAGCTTGTTGAAACTGATCAGCGGCTGATTCCAGGAAGCCCGGGGCAGAGCAACTCTGCCTCGGGCTTCCTGTAGTCAGCCGCTGGTCAGTTTCAGCAGCAGCTGAATCAGGACGCCTGGGGCAGAGCAGCTGGGGTGCTGCCGGATTGGTCCAGTAGCGCCCAGAGCGGCGCTACGGGACCAACCGGCAGCGCCCCAGCTCCTGTACCACAGGTGTCCGGAGCAAAGCCGCAGAGCACGTGGGCAGCGGGACAGCCGCGGCGCGTCTGGGCTGTCCCCGTGCTCTGCGGCTTTGCTCCCCGTCTCCCTGGTCTGCTGGTCTCCAGCAGACCAGGGAGACGGGCAGCAAACCCCATTCGTAACTGCGGATCCGCCATAAGTCGGATCCGCGTAACTCGGGGACTGCCTGTACTGATACCTCTGTGCCTCTGTTGGCTGTTCCCCCCCCAACCTTTGTCGGACAAAAAGCTCTTGCAGACTGTCTAGTGCTGCCCCTTCCCAGGAACAGGAGAGAGGGAAGTAGTATCTCCCTGATATGCTACAGACTCAACAAGATGTTTTCCAGGACAGTCATTTCAGGGTGTGTGAAAGTTTATGCTGCATTTCCCTTATTTGAATTGGGTTTGTTCTCATAGGCAAGTTGTTCTACACTCCATCATTCCTTTTTTCCATTCAGCAGAGGTGATGGGTTTCTAATTGGGAATTAAAGGTGAGCTATATCCCTAGCAGCTCAACCGGAGAGTGCCAACTTGGATCTGTGCCTTAAGCCACTCTCCAGCATATACTCTCAATGCAAAGTCCCACAAAGTGCATTTCCTTCCTGCCATACAGACAGCTCTTTCAGTAATACTCCCAAGAAAAATCATTCATATGAATTGTCGTTCCTCACCCAAATGTCTTACTAACACTAACAAGTATCTGGAACAACCTGTGGAACTCCTTGCCAGAGGATGTGGTGAAGGCTAGGACTTTATCAGGGTTCAAAAAAGAGCTAGAGAGATTAATGGAGTTAGGTCCAGCAATGGCTATTAGCCAGGATGGGTAGGAATGGTGTCCCTCCCTAGCATAGGGTGTCCCAACATTTCAAAAGGGTCGCCAAGTGTCTCCCCAGGTGGCTCTGCCCTCCTTCCTCCCCGTTTTTCAATAGCCTTGGGTCACCAAGTCTTCCTGAATTGTCAAAATGGGTCCCCACCTGGAAAAGGTTGGGAACCGCTGCCCTAGCCTCTGTTTCTCTGGAGGTGGGTGACAGGGGAGGGATCACGTGAGGACTTCCTGTTGTGTTCCTTCCCTCTGGGGCATCTGCATTGGCCACTGTTGGCAGACAGGATACTGGGCTGGATGGACCATTGGTCTGACCCAGTCTGGCCATTCTTGTGTTCTAACAGCCAGAGGTCATGCTGTTGAAACATTAAATGTCCATTGGGCAACCTAAAACAACACAGCCACTGAAAATTTCTATGCAGTTGCTGCATTTTTTTGCCATATTAAGATTAAATGACATTTCTAGCTATCACCACTATTTAGTGACAGTGTGGTAGGTAGTTTCTAATGCCAAAATATAGCTAACATTCTGGTCAAGTAGCCAAAGCTGGAGAAGATATTTAAGTATTCCAGATGTTGAAAGTAATCCATGTTCTCAAGTTGGCTTGCTGTGCGTGTGTGTATGCAGAGCCACATTTTCAAACACTATTTTTCAAGGTGTACCTTCAAAATATGTGCAATAGCCCTATGAAAAGTGAATGAGTGTAATGGGAAATATATAAAAAAAATATTTTGGTGAGGGATGGGGGGAGCAATTTGGAAAAATGCCATATAGACATGATTCAGTTATTTCACCCACTGAAATTACAATTCCAGATACCTAAAGGACACGCTCCAGTTTGCACTGCGGAAAGTGCACGTCCTCACCAACCCATCCGGTCAGCCGGTCGTCTGGAAGACATCCAAGCGAAGGTCATAACTGCTGGGAACAAAGAGTGCTCACAAGGCAGAACAGACGTCCTGGTGTCTATTTGCTCCAAGACATTTTTCTTAGGTAAGCAAACTACAGAAAGTCAAGTCATCTCCCTCACCTGTTTTTGTTTGTAAATCTGGTGTCTGAGTCAAAACAATTGCTGGAAAGCAAAAGCAAAATGTTGTGGTGGTGACATTTGCCTATGGCTGTACTGACTCCCTTAGAGATCCCCTTGAATACAGAATATGGTTATTTCCTTAAAGTTCTGGGGGATTGGCTGAGAGATGTATGGAGTTCTGGGTGTGAGGCTGACGTATCTTTCTGAGCACAGTGTAACTAGAAAAAGCCACATGATAGCATTCTGAAAAAGGCCTGCTTTATTATGGCTGAGATTATTAAACCATAGCACATCCATGTGGTTCTGTTACCAGAGCCTCTTATCAAAGGCAAACATTAGTTAAGCTTTTGCTAAAGAGTGCTTTGCTCCATAGAGATTATCAGTTTGCAGAGCTGGATTTAGATTAGCAGTAATGAGAGGACTGTAAAAATTTCATTTCTCCAGCAAGGAATCCTAAAGCATTTTGCCACTGAAGTGATGGAAGGCAGCAGACAGCTGGCCAAAATTCCCTATCTGAACTGTGGGCAAAAGGTCCACGGGTAAACCATCCTGCTCTTACTACGTTTTACGGGATCATTGGTTTCCAGAGAGAGTGTGCGCACACTGCTTCTTAACTGCCCCGGGCGACCTGGTATGCCAGTGAGCCAAGTGGAACCCACAACTGGACAGCATGACAGACTGAGCCTGTTTTGATGCCGCTGGTGTAGCATTTCCAGGTTGGATACATAGTCCAAGCCCAGTTATCGCTCGTCTCCAGTTTCCTTTCAGACGAGCTCTGGTCTGGAACATTTAAGAACAGACACACAGCTGGGAGGCAGGAGAATGAACCAGGTGAGATGGTGTCTTCTCTCCTTGCCCAAGCTGGCACGTTTGCTCCCACTCCATCCTGCCATGGATGGGGATGGTTCCTGGCTTTGATTCAGATTGAGGGTGGCCCAGTGTGTGACCATTCTGAAGAGAGCAGAAGGCAGCTACTTCTGCTGCTAGTTAGAGTTCTTAATGGGCTCACATTACATCCACTGTAGCTAATTCTGAGTTTCAACTCTCATGTTACATCTGTACAGTAGGTGGTGACCCAGGAAAAGCCTGCAGCACATGAGATAGTGTATGTTACTGAAGGGTCTGGAGCAGTCTCCAGGGCTTGTAATGCAGGAAGAGAAGAGAAGAGCAGAGCAGAGCAGAGGATGTTAATGATTGTGGGGAGGTTGTGCTGTCTCACTGATTTGCCTGCTGTTGGCCTCATCTATGTGTACATGTTTCCAGCCTGATTTCTTGAGTTATCTGTATGGCTGGCACCGCCCAGGTTGTTCCAGGTGCTCCAAGAGCAGCAGCTCTGTTCATTTTGAAGTGGCTGCAGTCTAAGGCCTTGAAAGCAGGGGAAACACCTCTGAGATTATATCAGCATGGTGTACCTTACAGCAGCATAGCTGTGTCACTATGAAATGTAGCCGTTCTTTGGGCAGGAGACCTCTCTCCTCCCGACAAAATAAAACTACCCTTCAACACGTGGTGGTAGGTGTGGTGGTGGAAGAGCATCACCTGTCATCAACGCTCTGTCTACTCTCGTGCTTCCGGTTGGTAAAGCTTCTGTCAGTCGGGTGTGGGTTTTTTTTCCTCTCCCCTAACTTACAAAAGTTTTAGCATTTTAAGTGATAGTGTAGACATAGCCAGATTCTCTGCCTTATGAAGTCTGTGTGTAACTGACACGGCTTTAACAGAAGTGTGCTGATTTCTAGTTTCATTGAGAGGACATCACCGATGTTGGGTATCTAGAATAGGCCCTCAGCACTGATGGCGCGGAAGCTGTATTGATTTACACCTGATTTACACCTGCTGAAGATTTGGAACGTATGTGTGCATGCACGCCTCTCTCTGCCTGCCTCATCTAGTAGGAGAGCACGTCTGTCTGGGGGCTGAGGGGCTGGCACTGAAGCAGTGGGGTGATTCCCCTGCACCACTGACAATGGAATTTGGCTTTTACCATGCTTGAGTCTCAGGCTGACCAAACAAAATGGCTGCCTGTTCATCTGAATGCTTTTTGAAGAATACATCCCATCCTTGGTACTGCGTGAATCACACCCGCTTCCTATTAATGAACATGATCATTTTTCAGAAAACAAAACTGGAATTCTCTTTCTTTTCTATTCCATGCCACTCTGCGCTGTTTTCTGTGCTGATCTTCAGATGGATTTTGGCAATTTAGCCCTTTCAGCAAAGCAAATTAAATGCAGTGCATGCTGAAACACTATGAACTAGCAGTAGTCTTTACATATTCCTTCTTGCACTCATGAGTGCTGCTGTACAATTTATTCCTTCCACTTATAATAGCTGCTAAGGGGAGGGGACAGAGGAGTGAGTGACCTACTCTGTCAGGGAGTAAGAGGAAAACACCCAGTGACAGGAAGGGGAAGAACAAGCAGCATAAGGGTACGAATCTCGGGGAGGGGGGGTTAGCTCACCGTCACCCTCCCTAAATGACACATTTACCCCTCCACACACCCCTCTGCCCTAAGCCCCTACTCACAACCCCAACCCTTACTCCTGCACCGCCATACTTCCTTACCCCCCTGCCCTGACTTCTGCAACTGCACATTCTCAGCCCCTGGCTGATTGGCTGTCCCAGGGTGAGTTCACATAAGACACAACCCACAAAATGGTGAGTTAACCACTGGGGCAGGGGAATTCATTGGTGCAGGGCCTTACCTTACTCTGGGCAAGTGTGTCTTCGGGAGAGCCAGTGCTGCAGGGGGGGCCTGCAGTCAGTAATGTCCATTCATTTTCCACAGTGTGTACTCATCCCACGAGATATTTTGTTGCTGAGTGTGAGAAGAGAAGCAAGAGAGGATCTTCTGCAAGCCTGCGGCTTCTATCCTGGCCCTTATGTGGCTTGTCTACATGCAGCAATAGCCCCCTTTGCAGCATGGTGATGTGGGAAAGTTACAATGGGAAAATGAACATAGTAGCCCTACCAAGGAACCTGTGGAGGCAGATTGCCATCAACACCCTGGCTTGGTACTAACACCACACGGACCTACACCTGCTTTCTGTAGCCCTCCTACCCCCAACAACATGCCTCAGTGCTTCCAGAAATCAAAGCCACTTACCAAGCTCATCCTCTGCTGTTTGTGCTTCGCTGTGACTGACTTCATTCCTCCAGTGTAGAAAATAACTCTGTGGACACTCTCCTCTGGCTCTGGGTAACCCTCTCCCTTGGCAACCTGGTCCTTGATTTCCTCCTTGCTCATTCCACTGTGGTATGGCCCCTGAGGCCCTTAAGTAGCCACAGGTCTTTGGAGTGGAGGTGGAGTCCTCCCCAAGTGTGTCATGCAGCTTTTTGTAGAACTGGTAGCTCATGGCTGCAGTACTGAAGCAGTGTTTTGCTCCTGTGCCTTGGGGTTGATGTTTCTCAGCTCCTTCATTTTGACCCTGCACTACAAAACTTCTACAAAAAGCCTTCTGTCGAGGCTTGCCTGGTGTGAGTCCTCTAACCACCTACTAAGGGAAAAGGCTTTGAACTGGGAGAGGCCCTGGCTTTCCTCTTTAATTAACTGTTGATTAAATCAAATGCAAGGAGCCCTTTATGGCAGGGGAGGCAATAGTAAACACCTGGGTGATTGACAACCCTACCTCAATGTCTTCTCTAGACTGCATTAGAAGAGTAGTCTTTCCTTTTGAAGATGTTCCACTTCAATTCACTATTGATAGTCAAAGCAAGCGTTAAGGTCCAGTAATCCGCTGTAGCCTAATGGCTAAGGTAAAGCTTTGGGAGTGTTGGAGAGCTGGGTTCAATTCTTGCTTAGACCAGCTAGTGCTCTCATTCTTTCCTATTGGCATGTAAGTCCCCTTTAGAGTATTAATTAGGCTCAAACAAGCACATTCAGTGTGAGTCCTGCCATAGTGTGGTGGGTTGTTTAGTGGTTGGCAATGCCATGGTTGTGAGTTCTATTCCCCCTCTGCCTGGTGAGCTGAAGGGTTTTGGAAAATTATTTGCTGCTGCTTCGGCCATTTTAATAAAACTCTGATCTCTCTTTCGCCCCCTGTGGTCCTGGCCTGCCCAGGAGGTGGGAGATCCCAGTTCCAGTCCCGCCTCTGCGAAGGGACTGGAGCGGGTATCTCCTGCCTCCCAGGGACCACCCACCCCACCCCCACCTAACCCCACCCCCCAGAGAGGTGAGAGCTTTCAGTCTAAGTCCCGTCTTTTATTCTTAAGACAATGGCTCCACCCGGAGCAGGGACCTAAATAGGAATCTGCCACCTCCCCGGTCACCTGGGAGAGAGGATTTCCCCAGTCAAACCCCTTCTAAAGGGGCAGAGGTAGGATTCGAACTAGGAAATCCAAGGATCTCCCACCTTCTAGGCAAGCACGCAACCACCGGGCTACAGAGTGATCTTAAAGCTAGGGCTGCCTCAGGCCATACTTAAGTAAAGGGGAGCAGCGCCAACAGGAAAGATTGACAGAGCTTCCTGTTCACAAAGAGAGCACCTTCCTCAGGGAGGCGAGGGCTCGAACCATGCACCTGAGCCTCAAAGGCAACTGCTGTGACCACTACGCTACTGGGTGCTCCTTGTACTAGGGGCTCTTTTTGGCCCAATAAACAGATAATTCACGTGGACCAGCTTTAATAGGGAAGTCTCCAAGCTCCCAGAGTCTAGCTCACACAGTCTAGGAAGGACTAGAACCCAGCACGCCACAGCAGAAGCACTTTCACTAGCCCCTGCGCTACACTGAGCCTCTTGCCTCAGTTCTGTGCTTTGGCCCAGTTAATAGTTAATTGAAGGGAAAGGGGTTCAAGAGGAAAAGAGCACACATGCCTGCTGTTCAACTCTTTTTGTCATAGCTAGCAAACAGGAGCCTTGAACCAGGCTCTCTAATAACCCAGGTAAGCACCCTAACCACTGCCCTACAGAGGGCTGTCTACAATAAGGCTTTACTTTAGCCCAATTAACTGATACTTAAAGTGGACCATCTTTAACAGAAACACAGCAGCATTGTCATTGGCCAGCTCCTGGGACCCAGATAGGAAGCAAAATGTCTAATCAGATGTTGCCACTGTGCTTAGCCGCCTGTTCCTTGAGACAGGGTTGTTAGCCAGTCATCAGGGCAGGGAAATGAGACACAAAACCAGCGTCCCCTGTAAGCTGAGCACTTGGACAGCCGCGCAGGAGAGATTTAAGTCTCCCCCGCTGATTAGCAGAGTGGCCACAACTGCCCAGAGCCTGTGTTTCTCCTGGGAGTTCACAACTGCACACACGTGCTCAGCCTTTCCGGACGACTGTGCCCCTTTCAGGAGTCTGCTTGTCTTGTGTAGCCCCAAGATTTACCTCATTTATAAAACCTAGTTCTTCCCATACAGCCCCCCACACACCCCACAGGCACAGAAAGACGGCCGACTGTCTCGTGTTTACCACAGAATTACACAGTGCATTGGTTGGGGTACACTTGTACTTCCAAAGTATCAGAGCCAGCCAGGGCTGGAAGAGACCTCCGGAGATCATCTAGGCAATCCCCACATTTCAGTACAATTAATTGTGCTACTGGAGTCTGTTTCCCACTTCTGCCTTCCCAAACCCTGCCCCCCAGGGCTGAAGCCTGTAACTTAACCTCACGGGGCTCCCCTGTGGTCTAGGGATCTGCACCTCTGCCCTTCTTGCCAGCCTTGCATTTCCAAACCCCCCAAACCTGTCCCATAATCCCATGGGGGCTGCAGTCCCCAGACTGAGAAACACTGGAATAGATGACATAGCCCCTGAAAGCCCTCTGCGTACCCCCAAGAGAGCATGTGTCCTGGTTCAGAACCATCCTCTCAGACATCACCAACCCTTCGCTATTCGTAGTCCAAGGAAATCAGCAGAACCCTTTGGAGACAACAGGCTCATACACGCTGTCTTCTTACTTCAGCACAGCTAGGTCAGGCCAGGAGTAGACCCCAGGAGTTTGTCCAAATTTCCCTCTAATTTTTTCCATCCATAGGGGGAATGAATACAGTGAGTTATGTGCACCGAGGCAGAGCTTGGGGCAGAAGCAGTAAAGCACGTGTTTCTTAAGCAAGAAAGCGCCTCACTTGAAATAAAGCACAAGACTGCTGATCGTGTAATAGAAGGGTGGATAATCTGTGGGAAGTAACAGCTTTCCATGACACTAGGATGGCTGTGGTAATTTGCCCCAAACATTTGAAATGTATGGAGACCTTTTTCTACCCGTCTTTCGACTGCATCGCCAATGGACCCCTCCCCCCTTCTCCTTGCTTACAATTGGGGGAGGCCAGAGATTAGCCATGGTACCAGTAATTACAATCCCAGTGCCTCCATGATGATGAATGTTTTTCGGATATTGTTGATCTGTTTCTTCCAGGAACAGGTATCATCCACTTTGTTGCGGCCCATTTTCTCCAGAGCTGAAGCAGGGAATTCTGCTAGGAAGCAAGGAAAAGTGGTCAGCTCTGCACAGTAGAAGGGTAAAACTTAAACCACTGCAAAGTACCTATTTGCTTGGATTCTCCTTTGGAGGTTTTTGAACATTTCCTTTTGGGTCTGTTGAAGCCAAGATGCAAGGAAGTCAATTTTCCAATCAAAATCATGTGACATATCATGTGACAAATCACGTGACTGCCACATATTATGATGAAAGCATTTTACCCACAATTCCCAGTACAAAAATGCAAGTGCAAAGGAAAAGAAAACTGTTTTTCTGAGAATTTAACACAAACTACTCACTCTCCTTGAAAAATCACCCAGTGCACTCCATTCACAGTTCCTAAGCAGATGAGACTTCAAGTTCTATTGGCTCTTACATAGCAAAATGAATCAGATGCCAGACATGTATTATAGCTAATATTAGGCAGCTTGGCTAGCAATCTAGCACTCAGAGAGTGGGACTTGTCATTTGGGGATATTCATTTAGTGACAAATGTGCAAGATTGTCAATTACTACTGTTGCTATTTTGCTGAATATTCAGGGGCTATAAAGCTGTGATTATGTGCCTGCATGGCTGCTAATGCTACCCTATTAAAGCACCCTTGAGTTAATAGATTAAAATTAGATGTGACTGAAGGCGCAGGTAATATTAGAGTTGCTTACTTGCTTGCATATTGAGCTAGGTTAAATCACTGGTGTTGACGCAGAAGAAATTTACTGACCAGTGTGCTGCTCTAGCTGGTAGTATAGCCTGGATCTCTTCTTTTGTTTTTTTCTTCCTAGGACTATTTGGATAGGAAATGGAATGTTACTTCGGAAACCCAGTATGGCCTGATGTGGCGTTGCAAGCTGGTGCCATCGCTGTGGGGGGGCTATAGAAAGCACTCTCACGTGACAGAAAAAATTGGTGTTTGGGTCTTAATTGTGCTCCCGATGGAAGAGGTCAGGGTGATCGTGCAGGAGGCTGGGTGTCTGGCGCTTACCCACAACCCCGGCACAGCATGGGCAGCAGCTGTCATGGAGCACAGGCTATTCCCAGTCCACACAAGACAATACTCAAGCTCTACTGTCTTTCTGTGCTCGTTGGTGCATCAGCCACTGTCTTAGCCCTCATCACCTAGAGGAATACCATTCTACCGGTTTGCAGTGTTCCTGCTTATTTTTTTCCAGCCACGTGCAGAAGAAATTTTATGTGACCAAAGAACGTGTGGAAGGGCACCCCCCCTCAGTAGAAAACACATGCTACTGGCTGTAGGCACTCTGCTAATCAGCTGGGCAGCACCTGAAGCTCTCCTGAATAGCATCCAAATGCCCAGCATATAGGAAACACTCTGTATGGGCCGCTCTGTTTCAACAACACTCACGTGCAAGCTCTTCATTTTAGTGGCTGCCTGCACATTTGCAATTACTGTAGGTTTAAAGAAGTGATTCTCAACCTACTGACCATTTTGGGCTGCTTACGCAGCTCTGTGTTAACTGGGCTCCAGCCACAGGGCTATGATAGTGGTCTATAAAACCATGACTGATGTGGAAAAGGTGAATAAGGAACAGTTATTTACCTGTTCCCATAACATAAGAACTAGGTCACCAATTAAAATTAATAGCTAGCAGGTTTAAAACAAACAAAAGGAAGTTCCAAGTAGTGTACAGCCAGCCTGTGGAACTCCTTGCCAGAGGATGTTGTGAAGATCAGGACTTTTAACAGGGTTCAAAAAAGAACACAATCGATTCATGGAGGTTGGGTCCATCAATGGCTGTTAGCCAGGCTGGGTAGGAATGGTGTCCCTAGCTGCTGTTTCTCTGCAGGTGGGTGACAGAGGAGGGATCACGTGAAGATTCCCTGTTCAGTTCATTCCCTCTGGGGCAGCTGGCATTGGCCACTGTCAGAAGACAGGATACTGGGTAGCTGTACAGGCAGTCCCTGGGTTACGTACAAGATAGGGACTGTAGGTTTGTTCTTAAGTTGAATTTGTATGTAAGTCGGAACTGGTACATATTGTAGGGGAAACTCTAGCCAAACATTTCTCCAGAGCTCAGTTTTATTCTCCCACACCTCACTTCCCTCAGTCCTTTATTCTCAAGCTGAGGTGTCTGCTGAGAAAAGCCGCTCCACGTCTCCCTGGTCTGCTGGGGGGGCGCTAGCTTCGCGTCTCCCTGGTCTGCTGGGGGAAGTGGCTAGTGAGGGGTTGCTTCACCCCGTTTGTAAGTAGGGATCCGATGTAAGTCGGGTCCATGTAACCCGGGGACTGCCTGTACTTGCATGGCCTTGAAGATGTCCCATTGGCCCCTGCTGTGTGCTGATTGGGCCATAAGTAGCCGTGGGCTCAGAGCTGCGGGTTTGTAGAGCTGCAGCACTTTGTCATAGTTCTACTCATCTAACTTACTGAGCTGCAGATGGGATAAAATTAGGGAGGTTTCTAAGTCCCTTTATTTCCCATGTAAACAGCAACTGGCCACCTCCCCAGGCATCTGGAAGAGGGGATTGCCCCGACAAGCCCCTTCTAAAGGAGCAAAGGCAGGATTCAAACCAACACTTATGCTGCTAGGCAAACACCCAACCACTGGGCTCCATAATCATGCTAACCTACATGCTGCCCCAGATCACAGTTAAGCACCAACAGGAAAGACTAACAGAGCTCCCTGTTCCAATTAACTGTCTTTCTTTGTTATTCGTGCAGGGATGTGAACTGTGCAAGCCTAGACCAAGGCACCTCCAGCACCGACATGGAAGTGAAGCTGAGGGGGCGTTGTTTTCTGAGCTCTGCTGTTGTGCGTGAACAGCCTTATCTCTGGTATTTCCTAACTTGTCGGTGTTGGCTCTGAAACCACAATCCATTTGAACAGAGTCCTAGCTACCGGAAGTGGTTGGCGTAGGTATTCGGGCCCTGCCAGGACTCTCAACCAGCTAGTGACTTTGCTGAAGGCAGCCCTGCACTCCCCCAAATAGTGACTCTAACCTCAAGTGTCGTGTGCAGGGGTCCCCTCACCAGGCTGCTACCAGGGATTGCTCTGGTCCAGGGCACCTCAGACACGGTTTGGGGAGCAGACCTGCACGGCGGTTGGACCCACGGCCAGCGGTCACGCACTGAGCTGTCATTGCACATGAACACCAGGGAGCTCAAGGTGGTTCATCGTGCTTGCCAGTTGTTTCTGCCTCATCTGAGGGGCAAATGTGGCAGGGTCCTGATGGACAACTCCCAGTTTCATAAACTGCTGGCATGCAGCTGTGAGCGATTCACCCATATCTGCAGATTAGGCAAGATAATGGCAACTCTGCAGCAACAGAATAGGGACTCTGGAAGATGTTCCTTCTATTCTTGCAGTCTGTGACAGAGCGTGCTGGGCCTGCAAGAGTTAACCTGAGTTACCTAGCCAAGAGAGCCCGCCTCCACAGCCCTACTGGGCATGCTCCAGCTGGAGGACAGCTATAAAAGCTGGTGGAGCAGCCTCAGTGGAGGCTGACTACTGCTGAGAAAGGAGGTGCTACTGCTGGAGGAAGAGTGATGGCTGGATTGAACTGTGTGGGAATAGCTGGAGGCTAGTGGAAAAGAAGGTGAGTGCTGTGAGTCTGATAGGAAATAGCTCAGGGTGAGGAGTTGAGAGAGCTTGATGTGTTTTGGGCAGATTCCCTGCTGAGCTAGTGGTGGGCCATCTCACCAATTATGGGGCTCTGAGCTGGAACCTAGTGGTGGAGGTAGGCCTGGGTCCTCCTACCATATTTGCCCCCAAAGGGGATGCTTCAACTGTAATGATTTGGGCTGTTAAGCTGTGTTGCCATGTGAAGGGCTGTTAAGACTCTGGGTGCTAGGCCTCCCTGCCCTGAGGGGAGGGAGTCTTGAAACTAACTGCAGCTGCTAGTCTGGACTGCCTCACTGGAGCTAGGGTATAATTAGGGGCCTGAGCTATAGGGACTGAGACTCACAGGGTGAATCATGTGTGTGTGTGGGGGGGGTCCTTACAGGCCTCATGCAATCTCCCTGAGGGTGCTGGGTGTACTTACCCCATGACACAGTTAAAGGCCCACGGACACAGCCTGGGGTGAATGCCTGGCTGCAAAGATGTTGTCGCCAGGAGGGCTTGGCTTTCTTGGCCACAGGACACTATTCCAGCTAAGGCAAAATGGGGCTCCAACTTGCAAAGGGGAAGAGGGTAGTTGGATATAAAATCATAGAATACTAGGACTGGAAGGGACCTTGAGAGGGCCTAGTCTCATCCCCTGCCCCCATGGCAGGACCAAATATTGACTAGACCATCCCTACTCTAACCTACTCTTAAATATCTCCAGAGATGGAGATTCCACAACCTCCCTGGGCAATTTATTCCAGTGTTTCACCACCCTGACAGTTAGGAACTTTTTCCTAATGTCCAACCTAAACCTCCCTTGCTGCAGTTTGAGCCCATTGTTTCTCGTTCTATCCTCAGAGGCCAAGATGAACAAGTTTTCTCCCCCCTCCTTATGACACCCTTTTAGATACCTGAAAACTGCTATCATGTCCCCCCTCAATCTTCTCTTTTATAAACTAAACTAGCCCAAGTCTTTCAGCCTTCCTTCATAGGTCATGTTCTCTAGACCTCTAATCACTCTTGTTGCTCTCCTCTGGACCCCCTCCAATTTCTCCATCTTTCTTGAAATGTGGTGCTCAGAACTGGACACAATACTCCAACTGAGGCCTAACCAGTGCAGAGTAGAGCGGAAGAATGACTTCTCCTGTCTTGCTCACAACACACCTGTTGATGCATCCCAGAATCATGTTAGCTTTTTTCACTGCTTCTCCCTTATCCGCAAGACTAGTTATCCTATCAAAGAAAGCTATCAAATTGGCTTGACATGATTTGTTCTTTACAATTCCATGCTGGCTGTTCCCTATCACCTTGTCACCTTCCAAGTGTTTAGAGGATTTCCTTAATTACTTGCTCCATTATCTTCCTTGGCACATAAGTTAAACTAACAGGTCTGTAGTTTCCTGGGTAGTTCTTCTTTCCCTTTTTATAAATGGGTACTATATTTGCCCTTTTCCAGATTGGCTAACCTAGTGAGGAGGGCTTTAAACTAGGCTTGATGGGGGCAGGTGACCAGTGCCCACAGGTAAGCCAAATACATGGAGACCTGGGAGATGGGTCAGGGTGAGAAGGGGAAGAGCATGGGCTGCAGTAGCAGGGATAAAGGGAAGCCAAGGCAGAATTGGGAGGCACAATGAGATGAGGTTAGCTTCTATATGCAAATGCAAGAAGTATGGGGAATAAGCAGGAAGAACTTGGAATGTTAGTAAACAAACACAACTAAGATATCATTGGTATCTGACTTAGGGGGTTACACTAGTATTCCAATCATGTGTATTATCCCACCTTTTCCTCCCCGGGTTACTGGGGAGCAGGTCACACTCACAGGTGTGCCTGGGCACCTGATGTTTTAACCTAAAAGATCCTGAGCACCCCAGTGGTGATGGTGGTTAGTTGGGGAAAGCCCTATCCACCCCCTTGCTGCAGTCCCTTGCTGGCAATGAATGTAAAATGGTGGTGCCTCCACCTGGCTGGCCTTGTACATGCTCACTGGTGTGCTTGAGCCTCCAGGAACATAGTCATCCAGCTATAATATGGATCCAAAACAACTACAAATCATATACATCTAATAGAACACTTTAAAATAAGCAACCTTTACTTAAATAAACAGAGATTAACAGAATTAGAAATGAATATCATTAACAAAACACATAACTTATGCTTGTATAGCTAGACAACAGTACTAATAGTGACCCCACCCCAGAGTGTGCACACCCCTAGACTCAGTGCCAGACACTTGCTTGCGTTGGCGCGCTGATGTTGCAGTTGTAGTGGAAATTTGGTCCAGGCTAAACAGCAGCTCTGTCCCAGGCAGCACTTTTCCATCAAGGCCCAAACTTACTGCCTCATGCTGTGCCTATAGGAAGCAGCCTGCTAACTCCCAGTTCCAACAGGCTGCATCCAACAGCCCCTCCACTGGGTCAATGTCCTTGGCAGCAGCCTAGCTCCCTCTGGTTCCAAACTCCAAGGCAGAGTCCCAGACTGCTAGGCCTCTTTCTTCAAGCACATGGAGAGAGCCGTCCTCTCTCCCACTAGAGTCCTTCCTTCCTGTTTTTTTCACCAAGGGCTCATGGGAATTGTAGTCTGGATTGTAGCACACAGGGTCTTTTCAGAATAAAACAGGCCCCTTTAGTAAGGGGACTACACTAGTATAGAAGAATACAGGCGGGAGGGAAAGGGAAGAGGTGTTGCCTTGTATATTAAATGTATCAACTTGAACAGAAGGTGAGATGACTGTAGGAGACAGATTTGTTGAGTCTCTGGGTAAAATTAAAAGGGTAAAAAGTCATGGTAGGGGTAGGGTTCTATTACAGACGACTTAAGAAGGAAAAAGAGGTGGATGAGGTTATTTTAATTCAACCAACAAAATCCTTCAAAGCACAGGATTTGATGGTGATGGGGGACCTGAATGGTCCAGACATCTGTTGGGGGAAAATAACACAGCAGGGCACAGATTATTCAATACGTTCTTGGAATGCAGTGGAGAATTCTTCAGAAGGTGGAGAAAGCTACTGGGGCTAGTCTGTACTAGATTTGATTTTATCAAATAAGGAGGAACTGGTTGAGAACTTGAAAATGGAAGGCAGCTAGACTGAAAGATCCTGAAATGATAGAATTCACAATTCTAAGGAGTAGTAGGAGGGAGAACAGCAAAATGAAGGCAATGGCTGTCAAGAAGGCAACTTTACTGAACTCATGAAGCTGGTAAGTGAAGACTAAGAGGAAAACAGTTCAAGACAGTTGGCAGTTTTTCAGAGGGATATCAAGGCTGCAGGAACACTCCATTCCACTGTGTAGAAAAGGTTAGGAAGTATGGCCAGAGACTACCCTGGCTTAACCAGGAGATCTTGAATGATCTACAAAATCAGAGTCCTTGTTAAAAAACAAAACAAAACAGGATGAATATAAACAAATATAAGTATGTAGGGGCAAAATTATAAAGGTGAAGGCAGAAAACTAGATCAGCCTATCTAGAGACATAAAGGATAACAAGAAAACATTCTACAAATATATTAGAAGCAAGAGGGAAGACCAAGGACAGATAGCCCTGTCTGAGTAGGTTCCCCATGTTCGTTAAATGATGTGCTCTTTTCAGGTTCCAGCTAATAGTTTTTACCTAATGCTACATAAACCTACATTTTGAGAGCGACAATTTTGTAAAAATACTGGGGCTTAAGGGAAAACACCAGTGTTGTCATCTAGTCTCGAGTCCCTAAAGTCAAGCCTCAAGTCTTAATTTGAAAAGTCACTTTTGTATAAGCCATCAATATTGGCACTTTTGGACAATTTTTTCACAAGTCGATTTAACACAATTAGCAAGTCAAGTTGAGTCATCTAGACAATTTAATTCTGACTCCAGTTCAAGTCATGGGACTCGAGTCAACTCTGGAAGACACCATATTAATTGTCCTAAATCTTATCCTATAAAAAGTGATTACTACTAGGATATTTTAGTGCTTCTTAGAGCCATGAATTATTTTTCTGCTTCTGATAATCTTTCTGTGAAATTCTGTTAATGTGTTTTTTAAAAGAATGCAAAGCTGGTTTCTATTATTGAAAATGTGTGGTTTTTTCCTTCCCCTCCCCCAGAAAATCAATAGTTTGAACTACATACCTCTAGCCAGCAAGATCAGATGTGCTTCTTGTGTGTCCCTCCTTTAAAAACAGATTTGCTGTCTACAAATCTTGTACATAGAAATGGCAAAAACCTTTTGCTGTCTCTACAAAGAGCAGATGCCACAAATGCTAAGATTGGCATCTAAGCAGTGAAATTAAATGCAGACATGCTTAAAGAATCCCATAAAGTGTGATCACAAGTAATAAACTTAAGGCTGTTTACCCTGCACATGGCAGCTAGCCTTCTGCAGTGTAAGCACTTGCTACAGAGATTGAAGGGTTTTTTCCTGTCTCTGTAGGAAATCCGTCCTCTTTGGTGTCTAGTGAGGCTTTGGTCAGCTTGACTGTCTTTCAGGGGTGTGGATTTTTTACACTCTTGAGTGATGTACCTAGGTTGGCCTAAGCTTGATGTGTAGACCAAGCCTCAGTCTGAAATAATGGGCAAAAGCAATTGGAAGGTTAGAATGCCTTAGCTCAAGGTAGGTGGTATCTAAAGTGCAACAAGAATCCTGTAACATTCAGAGTGTAAAGTGTTTATTTACATTACATCAGTGATTATCTTGCTGTGCTGTTAATTCTTTTACTATTTAACCATTTAATTAGTATTTGCTAGAATGCCACTTTGATTTTTCTTAAACTATTTTGATATTTAAGATGTCCAGACTTTTCATCAATTGTATTATCTAGACTAATGCTATTAAACTATGGCAGGTGCTGACAAAACTTATCAGTAGATTTCCGTCACAGGAACAATTTAAAGAAAACATAGATGTTTTCTCTGTTTTAAGATTGTAGCCATGGAAAGAGCTGTCTTCTTCTGGAAGCTGGTTTCACATGGTGGCTTAGATTTTCCCATCTTTGTATCTAGCACCATTTGAAATCAGTGTTCTAGGAGCAAGAATTACAACGTGGGAAAGGAAGAGCCAAGGAGCAGCTTGCTAACTTCACCAAATGGGTCAACTCTTCAGGTTAGTTTTAGCTGGTTTAAGAATTTTTTTTTATTGGTTTGACTGGCAAGTTTGAAGATTCCATGTATCTTATGTATTAAACTTATAACATGGTCACATGTACACTTGTTGCAAGGAAGATCTTTGGAATGTATTTTTACCTAAATCCAACTGAAGATGAACATAATGGGTGGGGGATCCAGAAAGATTCTTGCCGATTTCAGTAAGTTAAGTTCTAAAGTACCTTTTGTGGATCCCCATCCTTCAAAGTCTCTAGGAAAGCCCACTTACCAGGTTTGGGGTGGGGGGGGGGCATACTAAAGAGCTGTTAGTAGCACTATATCTAGATAAGCAAAATGGCTCCAGAGGACACTGTCTTCTATGAAGCTATATGGAGTGCTAAAGTGACTGGCTTGATTGGTAACCATAGAATGCAAACCAGTGCCCTAACAAGTCATGAAGTGTTAGGGCCTGCTTTTCAGTCGTGATAGGTACCTTCAAGTCCCACTGATATTTATCTGTAACTGTAGGTACTCAGCAGCTCTGAAAATCTGACCCTTCTCTTACTAAGTGGTGGTAGAAACTCCTGTACTGAATATCAAGCTATTTTCTTAAGATGTCATTGTCAAATTTGTTTATTAAAAAGATTGTTTTCAGTAGTTCCTGTTTACAAGTAAAGCTGAAGTTCTCCCATCATTAACCCTGAGCACTGAAGATACTGAGTTCTAAGGTAGGCTAGTTTGTTCAAACTGACTATTTTGTAGGTGTTGGCGTGTCCAGAAGCATCCAGTCATCTTTGTGAAATGGACCTGTAGCCAGGAACTCCCTCTGCTGAGCTGTGAAAACATCTTACACAGGATGACCGGTCTCTCTTGGTGTTCAGAGTCAGATTTTTGTCTAGCACCATTTGAAATCGGTTATGATGTAGGGGGAAAAGCAACTTTAATGGAAACTCAGTTTTTTTTCCTCCCCACAAGCATCTATATTCAGATCCTGGGGGTTCCAGAATGTCAGCAAAAATATCATCCTGCTACAAAGTTTGCATATTTGTGTAATATTTATGGTTGTATTCTGTTGAGCTAGTAGGAATAGTGTCAGTGAAGATTCCTGTTTGGTTAACATGTGGTAGCACATTGAAATGATTCAGTAGTTCAGTTGTGTATATAACATACACCTATCTTGAATTGTGATTTATTAACTAGTAAGAGCTATTTATTCTTTTCAATATGGGTAACCTATTTTATTTTTTCTTTAAGTCAAGACATTAATTTCTACCTCAAAGGCTGATGGCATGTAAAGCATGTTTTTTTTCTTTAGTCTACAAGTCTACTCATCATCATCTTTAAGTTAGCTATGGGCAGATAAAAAATTATGTATTATGTGCAATATTGTGTTTGACTAGTTTAGATGATGCTACAATAAAATGACTATGTTCTTTTACCTACTAGATCAGGGAAGGGCAGTAAAACTGGTGGTTCACCAGGATTAGTCTCTGGTGGGCTGCCACTGTATTTGCTTGCACCTCTGCAGTTACAGGTGATTACAGCTCCTATTGTCCAGATTGCTGATCCTGGCCAATGGGAGCTGTGGGATATGTCATGGACTAGGGCTCCTGATGGCTGCATATCACTGTCCCCAGCCAACTGGCGCTGCAGTCAGCTGCACCTGTGGAGGCACAGATGAATATAGCAGTGGTGGTTCACTGGCTGCTAATTGTGGGGAACCAGATCCAGTCCATGGACTGGTATTTGCCCACCATGGTGCTAGATGGTGGCATTACACCACAGTACAGTATAAAATATGTACTATGCAGAACTGTGTAAGTACTAGTTTTCAAGTATAACAAATTGCCCCAACTCAATATCAAACATCCTTTTTTAAATAAAATAAACAAAATTGAAAGTTAGACTAGTTGCATGGCATGCTGATTTTCATTAAAATCAAAATACCTTTCACTCAAGTTGAACTAATGTTTTATTAGGAAGTATATAAGTTGCCACTTAAATTTTACAAAGACCCTTGTATTCAGAAACTGAACATGGATAGCACTAACAAGGTGGTGATTAAGCTCCTTTAATAGTGGAGGGCACTATAAAACAAAACAACCCTCCTGAAACTAACAACTGCAAGCACACTAGGCAGATGGAATGCCAAGCTGTGTTCTTAACAACATGCTCTGCAAGTCCCACCACTGGAAATCTTTGCAGGGTCCTCGCTGTTCAAGCTACCTTAAGCAAAAAGATTTAAGACAACACCATGGGCTATATTCACAACAGAACTTGGTCTTCAGTTGCCTACAGGAGCACATGCCTTGGCCTCATACAGTGCATAAGCCAGGAAGAGGTTCTCTCCAACTCCCCTGTCGAGTTAGTATCCTCAAATCTTGCCTGTTGGATCAAGTCCCTATTAGCTGAGCTGGCACAACAGCTTAGGGAAAAGGAACAGACTATCCTTATAAACTTTTAGTAGCTTATGAAGTGAGATGAAAAAAGACTTGTACTGTTTAGCTTAGCCTTCTCTTTTCTAAGGGGGAATATGATAGAGATCTATTAAAATCATGACTGGTGTGGAGAATAAGGACAAGTTATTTACTTGTTCCCATAATATAAGAACTAGGGCTCATTTAATGAAATAGGCAGCAAGTTTAAAACAAACAAGGACCTTTTCCTTCACTTAGTGCAGTCAGCCTGTGGAACTCCTTGCCAGAGGATATGGTGAAGGTTAGGACTCAAAAGAGCTAGATAGCCATTGATGGACCTAACCTCCATGAATCTATTAGCCAACATGGGTAGGAATGGTGTCCCTAACCTCTGTTTCTCTGGAGGTGGTTGACGGGAGGGATCACATGAGGATTACCTGTTGTGTCCCCTTCCTCTGAGGCATTTAATATTGGCCACTGTCGACAGACAGGATACTGAGCTTGATGGACCATTGGTCTGACCCAGAATTGCTGTTAATTGACCCACATAGTCTGTGGTAAAAGAAAAAGGTTATGTGCGTTAGCTTAGCCATAAGTTCCATGAGGCTGAAACAGATAGCTAGAAATATTTACAATAACATTTCAGTTTGAAAGGTACAGAGTTCAATCCAAGTGCTAATTCATAAGCAATTTTCTGGGAGAAAACATACCTTAAAATGATGGGACAAGATAAATAATTTAGTTTTCATATGACAAACCAAGGGAACAATGTACAAGACTTGATTGTGAAAATTAAAGTAGGCTCTATTGTACAATAAGCAGTTATCTTCCAATAATAATGGTACCAAGATCACTTAAACAATATGGCCACTGACCAATCACATCAAAAGTCTACCAGCACTCATCATGTAGTCTCTTCTGTAAGAAGAAAGACGCTGAAAGGCAGAGAACAAAAGGCATCCAGTATAATGGCAGGAATACAGTCTTAGTATTCCAGGTTGTGGTGAGAAGAGTGAGCACAAAGCTTTTTTATAAGTAAACTTCACACAGGCAAGTGAGCTAAAAAGGATGCATTGGTATACATTCTGGCTTTATGCCTTAAAAGTGCAGTTGATGCCTACAGTAGTCAATCACAAAAGGAAAAACTCTTCTTCTGGTGAAAATGGTGGATAAATAGTCCATTACAGGAACTTAGTGCAAGTGTAGTCCTTCATTCTGCAAATTCCTTTAACTTACTACTTTCACCATTGCCCCTTCCCCTAAGCAATCACTTTACTCGGGGTGTATGCAGCAGTTGGGGAAGTGGAGACTGTTTTCCTGCAAAGCAAGGATAGTTACAATTTCAATTGTGTATCATTCATCTAGTGATTGAACATTTATAGTCTTTGTAATGATGCAACTGGTGACATTTCCTAAGTCAGTTTGTTAGTTCAAAGACCTATTTACACTAACTCTTTTGGTAAGTGTATACCAGCAGCCAGTAATAGGCTCCTATAGCTTTTTTTTAAAACTGATCAAGTTATCAAGCTGCTTGATACACTGTTCTCTTCCTGAAGTTGTTCAGGCTCTGTTATACAGATTTTGGTTGGTAATTATTTTATACAGCGTTTTGCAATGTTAAATTTTTAGCTAGGAATCCCATGCTCCTGAAGTCACTTCATTAAGCATATTTAGGACTGGTTACAGGCATGTGAACTAGTGGCACAAATTAACCAAAAGCTGCCCTAAAACCACTTTGGACCAAAAAACTTGCTCAAATAACCCTCTGGTTGGCTTCTAAAACACATGAGGCTTTCAACCCTAATATGTACCCACAACTGATTGCATATTTATATCTAAAAGACTATTAAACTGAGACTCTGACCACTCTGAAGTTAATTATCCTTTCCATCCTTTCTCTCCTTTTTGATGAGGGTTAGAATAAGTAAGGGTTAAGTAGTCTGTTGCTGCTCTAGGATCCTGGCAACAGCAAACGAACTATTGTATAGGACAGCCAGGCTTTGTCGAGCCGAGGTTCTACTGTCCTGATGGCCTCTGGGAAAGGAGGTGGTTCATAATCAAAATGTTTATAACTCTGCACAAAACATTATGGTAGGTCTTTCAAAAAATTACAACTGAATATTGGCTTAATACTACTTTAAAACTTTCCTATGCAAAAGAAAAATGCTGCTCTTAAGCCATTTTAATTTAAAGCACAAACAGTTTCCTTAACTTTTAAAAAAGTTTTGAATGGGTAACTTTTATTTTTAGTAGTTTTAATACCGTATCTTTTTTTGGTCTCTGTTGCTCCCTGATTATATATTTCTAGTTCCAAATGAGGTGTGTGGTTGACTACTCAGTATTTAACTGTCTGTACTGCAGTTCTACTATACAAAATGTAAGTGTTTGGATTTTAATGAAGCAAATAAAATTGTTACACATTCTTGTTTATCTAATTTGATTTTTGATTGAAAACAAATCACTTTTTTTTTAAAAGTAACATGTAGTGACTTGAAAAGATTCTGGACAGATTACACACAGGGGATGAACCTCTTTAGGTAACCATGCAACAGGTGTAGTATATTACTGTTAGGATCATCAAGCCTGACCTGGACAGGGTCTGGGGATAAAAAGGTAGGTCAGTGTAAGGATGTTAAGTACAGTGTATTTCACTAATATAAATAGCTGAAGCATTTTTGCATCGACTATTTAGTCGATAGGAGGATGCTGCCCCTTTGAAATGCTGTAGCAGAGTTTTAAAGGAGCCCAGGATTAGCTGTATGGTGCTGTTGCTTTGAAGTACTCCCCCATCCACCACCTTGCTTACCTCTGAGAGGCGGGAGGGGAGGGAGAGAGCAAATAGTCAACCATTCCACTTTACTGTCTGAAACAGATGCTTAACATCCCTAGGTCAGTGTCAAACTATTTGATTCTTGACCCCTAAGACTAAGGGTCCCAATTAATGAGATCACACCTATCCATTTGCAACAGCAAGACCATACAGTGTCACTGTGCACATCCACATTATTTACAACACCCTTTAACCTCGCTGACTCACCCAAAAGCTCAATTGTTTTCCATGTTCATTAAAGGTGGATAAGCAGTAACTGGGTTTTTATCTATCCAAGGAAGATTTAACTGTAAGGCTTCTTAAAGAGAAATTGTGGAATGACGGGAGGCTTTTCAGAATAGACTAGACCAACAGCTGTCAAGGACAGTCTAGGCATACCTTAGTCCTGGTCAGGGAGTAGGCTAGTCTACACTGCTATGTTTAGTTCCTCTTAATGAAGAATAGTTTAATGCAGCAGTTCTCAAACTTCTTGGGCTGCAGAATCCTTTACATGTGTCTTAAAAAAAAAAAATTTATGCAGAGCCCTAACAGTCCACTGATTATATGTGTTGTACCTATCAATGTTGGCCACCTTAGACCTCGCGGAACCCCTAGAGATGTCTCCGACCACAGTTTAATGAAACTGTTAAGCCATTGCTACTTTAAAATGAAAGCAATCTGAAATATTTTATGCATGTCTTTAGAAACAAAGACTTGAAACCAAATTGCATCTAGTACATGACCACTCACTCATCCACCAAATCTTAGATTTGAACTAACACTGGTCGCCTCTGATGAAGGAGAAATACATATTTGACTGAGTAATTCTCATACCATATAGGAAGAGCTATGGAAATAACATGTGAGCTTCACCTTTCCACTAGAAACATGAATGAGACATTAAGTGGAAAGGAAATTTAAAACATACCTTTTTTAATGATTAAATTTTTAAAGCAAATACTTATTTTTCATCAGGTACTCTAGGCTTTAAAATTCAAGCTACTGTTCAGCTCATACTAAACTGATGAAAATGGCAAAGCAGAGGGGAGGAAGTTGCACGCTGCTTTGCCATTTTCATCAGTTTAGTATGAGCTGAACAGCAGAGGGGAGGAAGTCTAACTGAATATTATTCTGTAAGCCCAAAGGAGTTGAAATAGTAGGTAGCTTTATTTTTGAGAACCTAAAGAAGTTTAGAAACTGAATACAGAGTGTGGTGCAATTTCCAAAACAAGTTCTAGTCTACAGCAAATACTGGAGCCAGAACAGGCTGTGTTTATTAATAACCCCCCCCCCCCACACACACACACACATTTTTTTATGTGGTGGGAATAATCAGTGTGATGTAATATTAAACTGATTCTTGCATTAAGAGTGGCAGAGACTGAAGAGCATATGTAATGAAAGACAATGGTGTGCTCTGGAGCCATCAAAGCACTCCAAGGTAACTTCAGACAAACACAATCATACTGTTCAAGAGCTTAAAAGCTGGACACAACGTGGTGAAATAAGGCCTTAGCCCTATATTTTCTTCTTTATATCCTGTTTAAATGTCTTTTTTTAAATGTCACCCCTACACCTCAATTATTTTAGGGGTTTCTCCATGGGGGAAAAGGTTGGGAATAGCTACTCTAGGCTATTGTTTGAGAATGACACAGATGCAGGGGCCACTGCTCAGTCCAAGATCAGGTTCTAGTGGTTGCTGTTTGTTTTTTAATTTAAAAAAATATCGTAACTATACCAGTTTAACAAGTCTATACAATGCAACATCATACTTCTATAGTATTTAAAATTTCAAACTACCCAGATAAATACATCTTGACATTTTTCTATAGCCCCTAGTGTTTTGTATAAAACAAAGGGAATAGACATGAAAAATCAAACTTTTACATAGACAAGCAGTGTCTTATCTTACATTGCCTGGAGGAAAAGCTCAAGTACTGCACCAGAGGCAGCAAAGTAACAAAAACTGATGAGGGGGGCATAAGCCATCTATATTATGGGGTGGAGGGACAGATGTGCTTTTGAACACACAGACAAATTTGTTCCACAAGAAAATATTGTATTCCTACATCGACATGTAGCCATTCTGATGTAGTCTTACACCTATCAGACCAGCTAGACCAGTGGCCAGTGCCCATCCCAAATTATGGAAGTTGAAAATTCAGGACACTCAGAGGATGAGGTCATGACCCTGACTGCTGTGGCAAACAGCCATTTATAGACCTCTTCTCTGTGAACTTTAATTCTTTCCTAATCCAGTTATGCTTTCGGCAGTAAGTGCCATAGGCTGTGTGTGCACTGTGTGAAATACTCCCTTCAGTTTTTTCAACATGCTGCCTATTAATTTCATCAGGTGACTCCTAATTCTTCTGTTATGGGAAGGTGTAAAACCACTTTCTCTTCCCCAGTCATGATCTAGTAAACCAGCATATCCCCATACCCCTCAATTGTAGGTTGTCTAAGCTGAACAGTCCCAGTCTTTAATCTCTCCTCATACAGAGGCGATTCCATACCTGAATCATTTTTATTGCCCTGTTCTATACATGTTTTACAATTATATCTTTCTGAGATGGAGCAATCAGAATTGCTTATATCCTTCAAGGTGGGGGTGTACCATGGATTGAGGTAATGGCATTATGGGCCTAAGTGTACCTATTTTCCTGTATATAAGGCTGAGGCAGTATAAGGTCAATTCAGTTTTTGTGTGGCTAGTGATCAGAGTCAAGTAAGAATAGATGAAAAAGACTAACAGTTTAGAAGACCAGTAAATGAAAAGCTAAAATGTTTTGTATACATTAGTGAATACAAAGGCTAATAAAAGTTGAACCTACAGTACTTGCTCATGCAATAGAGAAGATATTAAGAAACTAACAAATACAGTAAAGAGATGCTTTGACTTACCCTTTCTGTGAAAAGAATTTCTTATAGATCCAAATAGCTGCCAGTGCCAGTGCTATGATTACAATTACTTGAAAGGGGAAAAAAATATCATTAGTCTGATGACAAGTCTATTAGCCCAAAACCACACATCCACAAGTAACAAGCTCACAAGTTTAGAAATGAAATTCATGTTACTTTAACAGAAAAAACCCAACCAGCTACGTCAAATGTTAAATCTCCCTCACTCTGAAGCTTTAATGAAAAACAAACACTGATTTAGCACTCAAATGCATACTATGCAATGAACCAAAATCTCAGGGGAGAGGAAAAAAAAGCACACACCCGAAATGCTAACAATGTACTCAATGCATTGTAGAGTTCACTGGGCAGTCTCTTTTTAAGAATGGGGTGAGAATCACATCACACTGCTTGTGACAGGGTGAAGGGACTAACAAAACCTGACAGGATGCACACAATCTGGGTAGGATCGGTAGGGCTTACATAAAGCCAAGCTGGACAAGCAAAAAGGGCTGTAGTGTGGAAGTTTTCAGTCACTCTGAGTTTAGTGAACACAAGGGGAAGGGCTGTGAAGAAAGCCAGCAGAGGGCAGTGTCGGTGGAAGCCCAGGGAAACAGCAGCAACAGCAAACATTGTTGAGACTGTGGCTCCTCACTGCTGACTGTAGGGTCCCTACTAAGAATGGTAAGGATTAGTCAATTCTCCCCGTCCCCCTCTTTGCTGCCTCTATCAGATAGAGGTAGCGGAGGAGCAGAGGTACTTCAGAGTGGCAGCACCGCATGGAGCTGATCCCAGGCTCAATGCAGTGCTGCCCCTGGTGTTTCAAAGTGGCAGCACAGCATGGAGCCTGAGGTCAGCTGGGACTCCCTATCTGACCCTGGGCTCCGTGTAGCGCTGCCACTTTGAAACTCCCCAGCTGACCCCATGTTCTGGGAAAATGCCATGTGGAGCCTGGGGTCAGCTAGGACCCTGGGCTCCACATGGCATTTCCAAGCAGCAGCACAGCACAGAGCCCGGGATTAGTGGAGGAGTCAGAGTCCCCTGCTGACCTCAGGTTCATGCAGGCACTTCCACTTTGAAATGCACAAGAGCACTCACTGGAGACTCTTATGTTTCAAAGCTGGCATGCAGCGTGGAGCTTGGGGCCAGCAGGAAGTCCAGCTGACTCCGGACTCCACTTGGGTGCTTCTGCTTTAAAATGCACAAAAGTCCCTGAGCTCTTGTGCATTTCAAAGCAGACGCACCCTCGAGCCTGGAGTCAGTAGAACTTCCTACTGGCCCCGGGCTGTATGTGGAGTTCCACGTTCCTCCTTTGAAATGCGCAAGAGCCCCAATAGGGGCTCTTGCACATTTCAAAGGAGGAATGTGGAAGTGACTATCACTACTCAACTTAGTCCCTACAGTACAGCTACAGTAATGGGAGGACCTGAGTTTCTCTACCAGCCACTGGGAGAGCGGAACGATCTTGGATCATAAGACTGCCTGGAATGACACCTGGTCTGCTGAGACTTTGTTATCCAAAAGGGGAAATGTGCTATGTGCAGAGAAAGCACCGTGAGTCCTAGGGACCTAAAGAGAGTGTGGTACGAAGGCATGACTGAAGGGGATGTCAGCGAGGGCAGAACTAATCCCCTGGATGCAGCCAAAGGGCTGTGCCAATCTAGACGCACTTTTGCGGAAATACTTTTAATGGAAAAACTCTTCCGTTAAAAGTATTTCCGCAAAATCATGCCAATATGTTTCAATACAAAGCCAAAAATATGCTTCCAATTCTTCTGAGGAATTTAGAAAAAAACCCTCTGATTTCTATTACATAGATGACAAATTAGAAAACCACCTCTTTATGCCAAAAATCTGACTGATTAGCTGTGTTAGTATCCATAGCTATAAAATTTGTCAGGACCTTTTTAAAGCATTTCTAAGGAGTATGAAAATAATTCAATGACAGAAAAACTCTAAAATCAATGTAGGTTCCTGCAGTCACGTACTGTACAGTGATTGACACCGAAATAAAACACTGAATTTACACGTGAAATAATAAAACTAGCTTACTTACCACAGATAATAAGCACGATGTACCAACCTAGAGTAAACAAAAAGGTGAATTCAACTTCAAAAAGGAGAGCACACATGGTAGTTACACAAGCCTACAGGCAGGTCTATACGTGTTAATCTCTACATGATTGCCTCCAAGAAAATTCAGCAAAAGCATTACATTTTGACACGGGGTGCAGTAAATCCATTCACAAGCTTTTGGAGGACAGGTAATATTAATTTGCATATTTGCATATTCATTAAGCAAATTATGAATATTCAAATACGTTGTTTCTGGTCCTCCCAAAGCCCCCAGTGCCAGCTTTAGCAAAGCTTTTGATATAGTCTTGCAAGCAAGTTAAGGGACTATGGATTGGATAAATGGACTGTATGATGAACAGAAAGCTGGCTAGACCATGGTTTCCCAAACCTGACAGCACTGCACGGGCACTCTGGGAGCCCAGAGCACCCTGGCAGCCATGCTGAGGCTCAGTATTTTTTTCCTGCAGCCTAATACCGGGCCACATCCCATAGTTTGAGAAACGCTGCATTAGGACAAGAAGCAGTTAACAATATCAGAGACACAGTGAATATTCTTCCAGGTTCTGTGTCTTGATAAAAAAACCCTAATAGGCGAATTTATATTCAGCTATTGGTGGGGAGAAGCAGGGAGAGGAGGCACAACTACTCCTTTTGTATTGGAGAGTTTTTATTTTTACAATGTGAATTAGCCATGAATGGGAAAATGTGTCCAAGTAACAAAACTTCCTGAACCCCAGATACCATTCAGGTGTTACACAATATGGAATATGCATTTTAAAAAAATGGTTATAGAACTATCACAATATATACTTACTTAATTTACATTTTGGAATTTCATGCTGCCATGAATGTTCAGCAGTGCACTCAATTTTAGGTTGCCCATGCAATGAGTAGCCTGTATAACACTCAATGTTAACCACATCTCCAACAGCATTATGGTGTTTTTCTTCATGTGTTACATGTCCATGCTCGATGAACAGTTGTGGACAAGAGTCGGAAGCTGGAAACACATATTCATAGAATCATAGAATTATAGGACTGGAAGGGATCTCAAGAGGTCATCGAGTCCAGCCCCACACCCTCAAGGCAGGACCAAGCTCCATCTACACCATCCCTGACAGATGTCTATCTAACCTGTTCTTAAATATCTCTAGAGGGAGATTCCACCACCTCCCTTAGCAATTTATTCCAATATTTGACCACCCTGACAGTTAGGAATTTTTTCCTAATGTCCAATCTAAACCTCCCTTGCTGCACTTTAAGCCCATTACTCCTTGTCCTGTCCTCAGAAACCAAGAGGAACAAATTTTCTCCTTCCTCCTTGTGACACCCTTTTAGATATTTGAAAACCGCTATCATGTCCCCCCTTAATCTTCTTTTTTCCAAACTAAACAAGCCCAGTTTATGAAGCCTGGCTTCATAGGTCATGTTCTCTAGACCTTTAATCATTCTTGTCGCTCTTCTCTGTACCCTTTCCAATTTCTCCACATCTTGCTTGAAATGTGGCGCCCAGAACTGGACACAGTACTCCAGCTGAGGCCTAACGAGTGCAGAGTAGAGCGGCAGAATGACATCACGAGTTTTGCTTACAACTCACCTGTTGATACAACCTAGAATCATATTTGCTTTTTTTGCAACAGCGTCACACTGTTGACTCATATTCAACTTGTGGTCCACTATGACCCCTAGATCCCTTTCCGCCATGCTCCTTCCTAGACAGTCGCTTCCCATCTTGTATGTATGGAACTGATTGTTCCTTCCTAAGTGGAGCACTTTGTATTTCTCTTTATTAAACCTCATCCTGTTTACCTCTGACCATTTCTCTAACTTGCTAAGGTCATTTTGAATTATGTCCCTATCCTCCAAAGAAGTTGCAACCCCACCCAGATTGGTATCATCTGCAAACTTAATAAGCGTACTCTCTATCCCAATATCTACATCATTGATGAAGATATTGAACAGTACGGGTCCCAAAACAGACCCTTGCGGAACTCCACTTGTTATCCCTTTCCAGCAGGATTTAGCACCGTTAACAACTCTCTGACTACGGTTATCCAGCCAATTATGCACCCACCTTATCGTGGCCCTATCTAAGTTATATTTGCCTAGTTTATCAATAAGAATATCATGCGAGACCGTATCAAATGCCTTACTAAAGTCTAGGTATATGACATCCACCGCTTCTCCCTTATCCACAAGGCTTGTTATTCTATCAAAGAAAGCTATCAGATTAGTTTGGCATGACTTGTTCTTCACAAACCCATGCTGGCTATTCCCTATCACTTTATTACCTTCCAAGTGTTTGCATATGATTTCCTTAATTACCTGCTCCATTATCTTCCCTGGGACAGACGTTAAACTGACCGGTCTGTAGTTTCCTGGGTTGTTCTTATTCCCCTTTTTATAGATGGGCACAATATTTGCCCTTTTCCGGTCTTCTGGTATCTCCCCTGTCTGCCATGATTTTTCAAAGATCATAGCTAAAGGCTCAGATACCTCCTCTATCAGCTCCTTGAGTATCCTGGGATGCATTTCATCAGGACCTGGTGACTTGCTGACATCTAACTTTCCTAAGTGATTTTTAACTTGTTCTTTGTGTATCCTATCTTCTAAACTTACCCTCTCTCTGCTTGTATTCACTACGTTAGGCACACCTCCAGACTTCTCGGTGAAGACCGAAACAAAGAAGTCATTGAGCATCTCTGCCATTTCCAAGTTTCCTGTTACTGCTTCTCCCTCCTCACTAAGCAGTGGGCCTACCCTGTCCTTGGTCTTCCTCTTGCGTTTAATGTATTTATAAAAGGTCTTCTTGTTTCCCTTTATGCCTGTAGCTAGGTTGATCTCATTTTGTGCCTTTGCCTTTCTAATCTTGCCCCTGCATTCCCGTGTTGCTTGCCTATATTCATCCTTTGTTATTTGTCCTAGTTTCCATTTTTTATATGACTCCTTTTTTATTTTGAGATCATGCAAGATCTCCTTGTTAAGCCAAGCTGGTCTTTTGCCATATTTTCTATCTTTCCTACACAGCGGAATTGTTTGCTTTTGGGCCCTTAACAACGTCCCTTTGAAATACTTCCAACTCTCCTCAGTTGTTTTCCCTTCAGTCTTGCTTCCCATGGGACCTTACCTACAAGTTCTCTGAGCTTATCAAAATCTGCCTTCCTGGAATCCATTATCTCTATTGTGCTGGTCTCCCTTCTACCTTTCCTTAAGATCATGAACTCTATTATTTCATGATCACTGTCCCCCATACTGTCTTCCACTTTCAAGTTCTCAACTAGTTCCTCCCTATTTGTTAAAATCAAATCCAGAACAGCTTCTCCTCTGGTAGCTTTTTCAACCTTCTGAAACAGAAAGTTGTCTCCAATGCAGTCCAGAAACTTATTGGATAGCCTGTGCCCCGCTGCGTTAGTTTCCCAACATATGTCTGGATAGTTGAAGTCCCCCATCAGCACCAAATCTTGGGCTTTGGATAGTTGTGTTAATTGTTTAAAAAAGGCCTCATCCACCTCTTCCACCTGGCTAGGTGGCCTGTAGTAGACTCCTAGCATGACATCACCCTCATTTTTTCCCCCTTTTAGCTTAACCCAGAGACTCTACACAGCTATCTCCTACGTTCATCTCCACTTCAGTCCAAGTGTGTACATCTTTAATATACAAGGCAACCCCTCCTCCCTTTTTTCCCTGTCTGTCCTTCCTGAGCAAGCCGTACCAAAGGAATACAAAACACAACTGCAAATGAATTTAGGCTAAGTATGTTAAATATCAGTTAATTTAAATAGTCGAGTAACCTCATGACATTTTATTGGTTAGTCAACTATTCTATAGTCCCTGGAGCCAGGGCCGGCAGCCACTGTATCAGAGGCAGCAGCGCAGGGTGCAAGGCAGAAGCAGGTCCGGGAGGGGAGCCAGTTTAAGAAATAGCTCTCCTTGCAGACCAGCTGCCTGTCACTTTGTGCTGATGCTTCTGAGAAAGAGGCAGCAGCGCAGGGTAGGGGGTGGGGGGATGTCTGAGCTCCCGGACCTGGCACAAGCCAGAACAGAGCTGGGCTGCCTGCCCGCTTGGCTCCTAATACACTTTAAATACAGAGCCACAGCAAGGGTAGATCCTGGACCCGCTGGAAGCCATGATGGAACCAGGCTGCTGGCCAGCCTGCTAAAAATTTAATGGCTGGGAGAGAGGAAGAGGGAAATGCATGTAGTGTGTAGCATTAACCTATAAGCTTTTCTTATCGGTTAACTATACTATTACATCCCTAATTTAGGCTTCTGCTTTAAAAAAAATATTTCCATTCACACACATTTTAAAATACATATACTGTATTGAATCTTTCTGCTATTTTTAAGATTTGTTTGGTCAGAATGAAACAAATTTCAGGATACCTGTTCCAAAACTCAATTACTCAGGATATTTTCTATGTTTGTCTACTTAAAATGACCATTTTTATTCTGATCCTTTAGTAAATCAATGCAATGTAAACAGAATCTTATACAGTCTCATGTTTGTTTCCAGATATTTGCTATTGTTTATTTATAGGCATTTATACAGTACTAACCATACCACCAAATGAGATAATGAGCACTGGAAGAGTTAAAAAAGCCACCCAATCAAAGGTCTGCAAGCCCCTCAAATAGTGTGGAGATAATGTCCATCAACAAAAATAGAAAAAAGTATTAGATCAGAAAAAGGCTCAAATATGTGTATTAATAAAGTTCTTTAAAGCATGTCCTTTAATAAAACTCTAAGGCTACGTCCACATTGCGCCCATTTGGCACAAGAAATATGAAAATGAGGTGAAGGGTAGAATATCTCTGTGCCTCATTTGCATAATTAATGAGGCTCTGTTTTTGTGCAAGAGCTGTTCTTCCTGACAAAACCCCCGGAAGAACAGCTCTTGTGCAAGAGGGGTTTTTTCACAAAAAATGGAGCCTCATTAATTATGCAAATAAGGCACAGATATTCCATGCTTTGCCTCATTTGCATATTTCTTGCGCTAAAAGGGCACTGTGTAGACATAGCCTAATAGTTTATATGAAGAATACGAAGAATGCAACATACCAAAGACTGAGAAAGAGAAATACACTCCCCACAGTCCCCTCACACTACAGAGACTAGTAGATTGTGTGTGCTCTAGCCCAGCAGAGCGACATCTTGGGGCTGGAGCACCAGCACAGGCTCCCCAATGCTGGGGGGATCCCCAAGCCTTGGGGTTGGCTCCAGGCAAGCTGGGGGCTGCATGCAGCCCCCAGGCCTTAACGTTCCCCAGCCCTGTGATAAGGCAACAGACAATACCCATTGTATATGTGGAGTGTTTTGTTTTACTCAGGGGTGGGGACCCTCAAGTCCAGGGACTGGATGTGGCCCTTAGCTTGCCTGGATCAAACCCCCAAGGATCAACCCTGCTCCCCCCAGCATAGGGGAGCCCACACTGCTGCTCCAGCTCTCCTGTCACCCCCCTGGGGACTGAAACACACAGAAGCTACTAGGCTGCCACCCCAGGCTCTGGTGTGTGATGGGAATGTGGGGAGTATCTTTCTCCTTCTTAGTCAGGGCCGCAGTGAGAATTCCACCCCCCACCCCCCATCTCGCTTGCGGGCGGACCCACCTCAGGAAAGGTTGCCCAGCCTGGTTTTACTGATAGTGGCCAGTGACAGCAGCAGCGCCCCACCCTTCCACGGGGAGTGGCTCTTCCTTCCCCCGCCACTAGGGAAGGGTGGGAGCACCCCTAGTTGCAGGGCCGCACCCTGGTGGTCAGACACATGGGGGAGGTGGGGAGGAGGAAGGGTTTAGCCTCCGAGCCAGACGCCCCCATGGCACCTCCCCCGGGGCTAGGGAAGGCAGAGATGTGGGTCCCCCCTGTGTACAGCTGACTGGTCAGGGCGCACCACATAGCATGTGGGGGGGAGGCAGCTGGGAAAGAGCTGGGCCACGGGCCCCAAGGCATGAATGGGGCAGAGCAAAGGGGTGGAGCCACAAGAGGGCAAGGGTGGGGCTACGAAGCAGAAACGGGGAGGACCCTGGAAAAACAGGGTGCAGCTGGGGGCGTCCCGTCCCACTCTGCATGGGGGACACACCCTGCGCTCCCCAGGGAAGCAGCACAAGCACCAGCAGGGCCCAGAGACACAGCTCCCAGCACGGCAGAAGCAGCTGCATGGTGCAGGGCGGCTCCCAGCACATCTCCAGCTGCGACCAAGCCCTGCTGCTCACTGCGCCTGCACGCCACCAATTGGCTGAGGGGGAATGTCGGGGCCTGGATGCAAGCCATTGCCCCAGCTAACGACCTGTGGGAGGGGGCAGGAGGGATGCGTGAGGAGAGCGGCACATGCTGGGGCGAGGCTCTAGGCCCGCCATGCTCTGATGGGAGCTACACATGACTCACACCTGCCCACTGGAGCGACCATTAACGCCCCGCGCGATGCAGTAACTAGCCACTATGGCGCGCCCTCTGTTAACAGAAGCTGATTTGACAACTCGATTGGGCCACCATGTTGCTGCCAGGCTATATGAGTATTAAACATTTCTCCCCTCATACTGGTCCCCTCTGGGTATGTGACGAGTGCCACGGGTTCCTGGTACCATGAGCTCACAGAACTGGGGCTCTTTGGCAGAATGAAGGGTGATTTGGCTGTTGAGCCACTTGTGCCTGAGTGTGGCTGCTCTGAGCCCTGCACACACACCAGTGAAGGAGAGTTTGGTGTTTCTCTTCTCTCCCTATCTTTAAAGGCGCCCTGTCCCACTCTCACCACAACACTTGGTTTGCGAGTGGGGCTCCAGTACAGCAGCTACATTGACACCAGCCTGCCAGTCCTAGTTACCGGAATTCCTGTCAACCACCCATAAAACGCTTTGGCTTGTTCCAAGCTGTTTTATTGTCTTAAGGCATTTTTTAAATTGCAAATGGTATGAAAAATGGAGTACTACATGCATTCAGGCACCACTGTGGTCTTTGTATCTTCTTAAAAACTTAGGCCACACAGTTGGCATACTGAAGTATATATTCACGTCTCTGTAGAGAATAGGCCTGTCACTTTGGCCATTTTTTCAACTAATTTACTTAAATGTAAGTTGCTGCACATTTGTCTGATCTTTCCAAACTCCTTTGCTAACCCCTCTGTGGCTCTGTCTTTTAAATGTACTAAGAGCTACCAGGCTCTTAATAAATTTAAAAGGCTGAAGCATAACTGGGGTGGGAGGAAGCAGGTGTGACCAGGGGAGCTGATTTCTGGTTGATGCCCACTCCCCTGCTACACCTCTGCCTCCCCTGCGTCCTGCAGAGACGGTGCTGCAGGGAATAGGCTTTTAAGCCAGCTCCCCCTAGCACCAGCATATGCTTCTCAGATAGTAGACTAGTTGCTTACATCCCTACTCCATAGTGGCACATATATACTCTGCTGGCCTCTGCCCTCTCAATTACTTCTTGCTGGAAGTCTGCAAGAGCATTAAATGTGGCATGACTTGACCTTTAAAGAAAATTATGTAAGGGGGCTCTGGAGTTAGCACTCAGAATTCTGTCACCCGTCCAGCTGATGTGATCACCCCCACTTTCGCCACTTTGCAAAAGAGGTGCAATAAAGAGCACAGAAGAGAATACAGATAAAGCCTGTGTTCTACCGGTCAATAAACAGTCTAGTATTAGCAGGGCTACGCTCTTCAGGAAGGGCCAAATTAAAAACTGTTTGAACTTTGCCATATAAATGGCCCTAATGGTAGATTTCCTATTGCCCAAGAGCACTTCCTTTACTACCTGACCAAGACAGGTAGAGTGTCAAATTCCAGTAACTTAACTGCTGTGTGCTGAATGCCTCCCAGTCACAGGAACATTATGTGGATAGTGGGGCTTCTGGTAGGCAAGAACTGCACTGTTCTTCACTTTATATCTACTACTAGAGAACAATGTGTTGATGTTCTATTTAACTCCTGACCTAAAAACAAGGAAGAAATGTGGTAAACCTATCCCTCCATGGAGGTTAGGTCCATAAAAGACTATTAGCCAGCAGATAAAATGGTGTCCTTGGCCTCTGTCAGAGGCTGGAGAGGGATGGCAGGAGGCAAATCACTGGATCATTGTCTTTGGTCCACCCTCTCTGGGGCACCTGGGGCTGGCCACTGGGGCAGATGGACCATTGGTCGGACCCAGTACGGCCATTCTTATGTTCTCCTCTTAATCCTATTTGAGAGTATTCAGCACAAAAGGCTCAAATTTTGTATTTTACCTGCTGTTAAAGCAGCCTACAAAGAGAAGGAAGCATTCTGCTATTTTTTTTAGAAGTTTACTACTACTATAAACAAAGAACTGCCTAGAAAATGTTTATGGATTTCAGTGTTAAACTGTGAACCACTTGCCCAACAAAAGAGAGTCTACTAACTATATCAAGATGACTTGCACGACAACTGAAATGGAAAAGCAACGATACTCACCTTCACAAAAATCAGGATCTGATGACCAGCTTGAATTTGCAAGACATGTAACTAAAGGAGACTTCCCACTGCTCAAAACATACCCTGAGCGACAGGAGTATTTCACTTTGGTCCCAGCGACATAGGAATCTCTCGCTTGCTCAGCCAACTCAGCAAAAACGAACCTTGGAGGAGAACCACAATCGCCTAGCAACAGAGACAGACAAGGAAGAGAAAAAGTTAACTTTGAAAGACATTCGGTAGTCTTCTCAAAAATGAGTATCTTCTTATTTTACTGGGGACAATTTGGATATAGAGGTTGAACCTCTCTAGTCCAGCATACTCTGGTCTGACAACATCCGTGGTCTGCAAGATTTTAGTTAGTTGGATGTCCTCTTATTGCAGGTCTGGCCAAGATTCCCACAGTCCCATAAAGTTTGTTTTCAGCCACCTGTCCTGGCTCTCAATGTTCTGTGCTGTTATTTAACTTTAATTTACCCCTACAGACATCAGCAAACAGTGGAAGTGCTGGTAATGATACTAAGCATAAGCATGACTTTTATACTTTGTCTACTTATTTCCTTGTGCAAAATTGTGTAACAACAATGACACTTCATTATTTATCAGTACAATCAGACATTATTAAGATGCTTTGCAAGTACTGTTTCATGTATTCGCCTCAGTGAAATAAAAATAAGAGAGATCCTGACTTCCTATAATTTGGCAAATTCCCTGGTTTGGCACAGGTCAGGTCCTGAGGGTGCCAGACCAGAGAAGTTCAATCTGTTCAGTTTTCTTTAGAGCCTTGAATCTACTGTGAATGAACTTGATGCACAACTGCAACTATAATGTAAAAATTTAATTGACTATGTATACTACACCCTGAGCAACTATTGTAATGCGAGGTATGCACATTGTGCAAAACAAGAGACTCCACCACCACTGCACCGATTTTATTATTTATGACAGCACTGGATCAGAGTGACTGGCAAACACACAAGGTTACATGAGAGAATGTGGCATACAGAACACGGTACACCAAGGGAGTAATCTACATAAGAGTGCATGAAACATGCAGGTTTAGAAACGAGTGAAAACAACTGGTGAACAGCAATATTTGAGACAGATGTCTTTCATCTCTCTATCTATTCTAGAGTGTGTTTCTCTATGGGTCTATTGGTTCAATAACTGCTCCTAAACTGTAAGAGCTAGGATCACCAAATTTGGTAGGCAGCTTCCTCTTACCCTAACTTAAACCAAGGTTAGGGTTTGGTTGTGCCTGAAAAATGTGAAGTGCTGGGAATGGGACTGTTTTGGATCACATGGAAAGGGAGCAGAGAGTGGAAGACGTGAAAGGGAAGGGCACAGAGAAGATCGACACGAGACAGAGAGTGGCCACGGGGGGCAGCTTCATCATAAAGACAGTAGCCAGCAGGGCTGAGGCTCTGCCATCTCGCCTACCTCAAGACTGGGTAAGGAACTCCCTTACCCCAAACACGGAGCCTGCCTCCCCCACCCACCGAGAGCCTATAGGATGTCTGTGGGGATGGGGGGGGGAGGGACACCCACTAGGGGGGGCAAACCCACCAAGCCTTGCCCTCCCCCCCAAGAACCTGCAGGCCACTTGAGACCAGAGGCAGCCCCCAGAGCCTCACCCACTCCCTAATACAGCCTGCAGGCCAAAGGGGTCTGGTGGAAGGAGGCAGCTGAAAGAGGAGCAACCCACAGAGCCTGGTCTCCAGGCTGCGGCTGCCTTACTGACACCCTTAAGCACAGCACAACTGCTGCCGCTTTAAATGTGGCTGCTCCATGCTGGGAGCAAGGAGGGAGGGTTTGTGCTCTCTCCTGCCCTGCAGCAAAATCTCTCAGCTCCCATTGGCTATTTTCAGGCCAATAGGAGCTGAGAAATTTTACTGGTGACGGTCTAGGAAGCAGTACTGCAGAAAGGGATCTAGGGGACATTGTAGACCACAAGCTCAATATGAACCAACAGTGTGATGCTATTGCCAAAAAAAAAAAAAGCGAACATGATTCTGGGAAATACAACCTAGAAGAGGTTACATTTAACAGGAGTGTTGTGAGCAAAACACGAGAAGTCACTCTGTGCTGATTAGGTCGCAGTTGGATTATTGTGTCCAGTTCTGGGCACCACATTTCAAGAAAGATGTGGAGAAATTGGAGAAGGTCCAGAGAAGAGCAACAAAATGATTAAAGTTCTAGAGAACATGACCTATGAAGGAAGACTGAGAGAATTAGGTTTGTTTAGATTAGAAAAGAGAAGACTGAGAGGGGACGTAATAGCAGTTTTCAAGTACCTAAAAGGGTGTTACAAGGAGGAGGGAGAAGAATTTTTGTTCCTGACTTCTGAGGACAAGATAAGAAGCAATGAGCTTAAATTTCAGCAACGGAGGTTGAAGTTGGACATTAGAAGAAATTTCCTAACTGTCAGGTTGGTTAAACACTGGAATAAATTGCCTAGGGAGGTTGTGGAATCAGACATTCAAGAGCATGTTAGACAGACATCTAGATCAGGGGTGGGAAGTAATTTTTGACAGGGGGCCACTCCAAAATTTTTGGAAATTGATCAAGGGCCACACTTTTCCATATTATTAATGGAAGAATTCTGGTCTGGGATGAAGGTTGGGTGCAGAAGGGAGCTTGGAGTAAGGGACAGGGGTGCAGGGAGGAGTGTGGGGTCTGGGAGGGAGTTTGGGCGAATAAAAGGATTTCATCTGCATTAAAGTGCAAGCTGGTCTCCATTTTGGAAGAAAAAATTAGAGGACTTGAGACCCATGTTCCATCAGAGAGGATGAAGACTTCCTCGATAGAAGGCAGCGTTTAATCTTGCAGACACAGCAGGCTGAAGAGCCACAGAAGGCAGTGCAGGACGAGGAAGAGAACTGGCAGCATGTAACCTCTAGAAGGAGAAGGTGGCCAGCTCAGGTATCCCCCATTCCTGTAGAGGTAAGTAACCGCTTTCAGGCTCTCTCCGCAGGTGGAAAATGCTTTGGCAGGGACTTCTCCGGGAAGAAATCAGAAGGGAACACTATCTACCAGAAAGCATGAGATGCGTAGTCCCAGGGATGGGGGTTCCATGACCACCACCACCCCCAAAAGAAGACGACGGTTGGTGGTGATCGAGGACTCCCTGCTAAGAGGACTGAGTCATCCATCTTCAGTCCAGACTTGCACTCTTGAGAAGCATGCTACTTACCAGGAGCTCAAATTCAGGATATAACAGAGAGACTTCCAAAAGTTATTAAACCTTTGGATCGCTAACTCTTCCTGCTTCTCCATGTAGGATCTAACAATATGGCCAAAAATGACCTTGAGTGGGCTACAGCAGATTAAGTAGCACTGGGAAGAAGGATCAAAGAATATGAAGCCCAAGTGGTATTCTCGTCCATCCTCCCAGTTGAAGGAAAAGGTCCAGCTAGAGATTGTCGAATTAAGGAAGTAAGTAAGTGGTTGCACAGGTGTTGTCGGATAGAGGGCTTTGGTTTCTTCAACCATGGGACTCTGTTCCAGGCACGGGGATTGTTAGGAAGAGATGGGATCCACCTAACCAAGAGAGGAAAAAGCACCTTTGCGGGCAGGCTTCCAAACCTAATGAGGAAGGAAGGTTCGCTGGGGGATGGTGACCAAAGCTCTGAGGTAAGTGAGGAAGTCGGATACTGGGAAGAAAAACAAGGAGGAATGAGCAACAAGGGAGGAGCCCTGATTCGGATGGAGAAGGTAGGGCCATCAACTGGTTATCTAAGGAGTTTGTATACAAATGTGAGAAGCCTGGGAAACAAACAGGAAGAATTAGAAGCCGTGGCCCCGTAAAAGAAATATGATTTAACTGGAATAATGGAGACTTGGTGGGATAACTCGCATGACTGGAGCACTGTCATGGAAGGATATAAACTGTTCAGGAAGAACAGGTGGGGCAGAAAATGAGGAGAAGTTGAATTGCATGTAAAAGAACAGTATTATTGCTTGGAGCTCCAGTATTTAGAGGGAGAAAAGACTGCTGAGAGTCTATGGGTTAAGTTTAGAGGTGAAAGCAACATGGGTGATGTTGTGGTTGGTGTCTACTATAGACTGCCAGATCAAGTGGATGAGGTAGATAAGGCTCTCTTTAGTCAACTGAGAGAAGCTTCCAGATCACAGTCCCTGGTTCTCATGGGGGGGGGACTTCAATCACCCTGACACTGGATGGGAGACCAATACAGCAGTACACAGACAATCCAGGAAGATTTTGGGGAATGTTGGGGATAACTTCTTGGTACAAGTGCTGAGGGAACTAACCAGAGGCCATGCACAGCTTGACCTGCTGCTCACAAACAGAGAGGAACTAGTAGGGGAAGTAAAGATGGGTGACAACCTGGGAAGCAGTGATCATGAGATGGTAGATTTGAAGATCCTGACCAAAGGAAGAAAGGAGAGTAGCAAAATACACACCCTGGACTTTAGAAAAGCAGACTTTGACTCCCTCAGAGACCTGATGGGCAGGATTCCCTGGGATGCTAACATGAAGGGGAAAGGAGTCCAGGAAAGCTGGCAGTATTTTAAAGAAGACTTACTGAAGGCACAGGAAGAAACCATCCCAATGAGCAGCAAGAAAAGCAAATATGGTAGGCGATCAGATTGGTTTACTGGGGAAATCCTTGGTGAGATTAAACACAAAAAGGAATCTTACAAGAAGTGGAAACTTGGACAGATGACTAGGGCAGGGAGAGGGTCCAGAGGGACCTGGACAGATTAGAGGATTGGGCTAAAAGAAATCTGATGAGGTTCAACAAGGAAAAGTGTAAAGTCCTGCACTTGGGACGGAAGAATCCCAAGCACTGTTACAGGCTGGGGACTGAATGGCTAAGTAGCAGTTCTGCAGAAAAAGACCTGGGGAGTCCAGTGGATGAGAAGCTGGATATGAGTCAACAGTGTGCCCTGGTAGCCTAGAGAGCTAATGGCATATTAGGGTGCATTAGGAGGAGCATTGCGAGCAGATCCAGAGACGTGATTATTCCTCTTTATTCAGCTCTGGTGAGGCCACATCTGGAGTATTGTGTCCAGTTCTGGGGCCCCTACTACAGAAGGGTATGGATGCATTGGAGAGGGTCCAGCAGAGGGTGACCAAAATGATAAGGGGGCTGGAGCCCATGACCTATGAGGAGAGATTGAAGGATTTGGGTTTGTTTAGTCTTCAGAAGAGAAGAGTGAGGGGGGATGTGATAGCAGCCTTCAACTTCCTGCAGCAAGGTTCCAAAGAGGCTGGAGAAAGGCTGTTCACAGTAGCAACAGATGGTGGAGCAATGGTCTCAAGTTGCAATGTGGGAGGTCTAGTTTGGATATCAGGAAAAACTATTTCCCTAGGAGGGTGGGGAAGCACTGGGATGGATTCCCTAGAGAGGGGGTGGAATCTCCATCCCTAGAGGTTTTTAAGTCTCGGCTTGACAAAGCCCTGGCTGGGTTGATTTAGTTGGGATTGGTCCTGCCTTGGGCAGGGGGTTGGACTTGGTGACCTCCTGAGGTCTCCTACAGCTCTATGATTCTAAGCAGTTGTGACCTAGGGCAGGGGACTGAGATGCAGGTTTTGGGATGTGACCTAGGGTAGGAGGGGATTGTGATGTCAGATCTGGGAGGGGGCTTAGGTGCAGGAGGGGACAGCAGGTTTGGGTATGTGAATGGGGAGCAGAGGGTAGGAGAAGGGAGGGGCTGGGATGCCAGGGGCAGGTTTTGGCTGGGAGGCACTTGACAGCAGAAACATGAGGCACACTGTCTGTTGCAGGCTGCTCATTGCTCCACGTGGCTCCTGTCCAGGCATGAGAGGGAGATAGAAGGAGGGGGCGGACAAGGAGAGAGAGAGAAGTCTTCCCACACTGCCCTTGCTCCCAGAAATTCTCGGCTCCCACTGGCTGGGAACTAAGAGATTGGCCAATGGGAGCTGTTCTCTACCTAAGGGTTCTAGCAAAGCGGCCACAAGCCAGATTCAGTGGCTTGGCAGGCCTGATCCAGCCCTCTGGCAGCCTCTTGCCCACCCCGATCTACATGGTGCTTGGTTTTTCTGTGAAGGCAGAGGACTAGACTTGATGACCTCTCAACATCTCTTCCAGTTCTAGTGTTCTATGAGTCTACGATTCTTCCAACGCTGTGACTAAGATCATAGTGGTTCACAGCTGAAATATGGCAGATAAAGCACACTAATGAATAAGATATTTTGAATCCACCTGCCAAAAGCATAGGCTCTTATACGACTATGCCACTGTAGCGAAAGTAGCAAAAAGCTTTCTATTCTACAATCAGCATGTTTCACTCATAAGAACATAAAAACAAAAGAATGGCCAGGCTGGGTCAGAACAAATGGTCCATCTAGCCCAGTGTCCTGTCTGCCGACAGTGGCCCATGCCAGATGCCCCAGAGAGAGGAAACAACAGGGAATCCTCACGTGATCCCTCCCCTGTTACTCACCTCCAGAGAAACAGAAACTAGGGACCCCATTCTTACCCAACCTGGCTAATAGCCATTGATGGACCTAATCTCCATGAATTTATCTAGCTCTTTTTTGAACCCTGTTAAAGTCTTAGCCTTCACCACATCCTCTGGCAAGGAGTTCCACAGGTTGACTGTGTGCTGAGTGAAGAAAAATTCCTTGTTTGTTTCAGCCTTGTGAGGCAGTAGGGACAGATGCACTATGGCTCCAGTCCCAGGAGCAGCTGTACCACAGCCCACCCTAACCACAGCTTCAGCCCTTGAGGAGGTTTGAAGGTGAGGCTAGGGCTGGCTGCCCAGCTGCTCCAAGGCTGGGCCCCATAGTGGGTGGCAGCCTGCAGCCATGGCACACAGGGCAGCCACCCACCATACATCCCTACCTCAGGAGCAGCTGGACAGGCATCACACGGCTGTGGCCCCCTACTCTCCCATCAACTATTATCTATTATCTGTGGTTTGTAACCTATCCTTTAAATCGGCTTCCGTACCTGATGACTGGAAGGTAGCCAACGTGACACCAATATTTAAGAAGGGCTCTAGAGACGATCCTGGCAATTACAGACCGGTAAGTCTAACTTCAGTACCGGGCAAATTAGTTTAAACAATAGTAAAGAATAAAATTGTGAAGCATGTAGAAGAACATAATTTGTTGGACAAAAGTCAACATGGTCTCTCTAAAGGGAAATCCTGTCTTACTAATCTGTCAGAGTTCTTTGAAGGGGTTAACAAACATGCGGACAAGGGGGATCCAGTAGATGTAGTATACTTGGATTTTCAGAAAGCCTTTGACAAGGTCCCTCACCAAAGGCTCGTGTAAATTACATGGCCATGGGATAAGAGGGAAGGTCCTTTCTTGGATTGAGAACTGGTTAAAAGACAGGAAACAAAGGGTAGGAACAAATGGTAAATTTTCAGATTGGAGAGGGGTAACTAGTGGTATCCCCCAAGGGTCAGTCCTGGGACCAATCCTTTTCAACTTATTCATAAATGATCTGGAGAAAGGGGTAAGGAGTGAGGTAGTAAAGTTTGTAGATGATACCAAACTGTTTAGGATAGTCAAGACAGAAGCAGACTGTGAGGGACTCCAAGAAGATCTCACCAAACTGAGCGACTGGGCAACAAAATGGCAAATGAAATTTAATGTGGATAAGTGTAAAGTAATGCACATCGGGAAAAATAACCCCAACTATACGTACAGTATGATGGGGGCTAATTTGGCTACAACAAATCAGGAAAGAGATCTTGGAGTTATCGTGGACAGTTCTCTGAAAACTTCCACACTGTGCAGCGGCAGTCAAAAAGGCAAATAGGATGCTAGGAATTATTAAGAAAGGGATAGAAAATAAGACCCCGAATATCTTACTGCCCCTGTATAAAACTATGGTACGCCCACATCTTGAATACTGTGTACAGATGTGGTCTCCTCACCTCAAAAAAGATATTTTGGCCTTGGAAAGGGTTCAGAAACGGGCAACTAAAATGATTAGGGGTTTGGAACGGGTCCCACATGAGGAGAGGTTAAAGCGACTGGGACTTTTCAGTTTAGAAAAGAGGAGACTAAGGGGGGATATGATAGAGGTATATAAAATCATGAGTGGTGTGGAGAGAGCCAATAAAGAAAAGTTATTTATTAGTTCCCTAAATAGAAGAACTAGAGGACACCAAATGAAATTAATGGGTAGCAGGTTTAAAACTAATAAAAGAAAGTTCTTCTTCACACAGCGTGTAGTCAACCTGTGGAACTCCTTGCCAGAGGAGGCTGTGAAGGCTACGACTATAATAGAGTTTAAAGAGAAGCTAGATAATTTCATGGAGGTTCGGTCCATAAAAGGCTATTAGCCAGGGGATAAAATGGTGTCCTTGGCCTCTGATTGTCAGAGGCTGGAGAGGGATGGCAGGAGACAAAACACTTGATCATTGTCTTCGGTCCACCCTCTCCGGGGCACCTGGTGCTGGCCGCTGTCGGTAGACAGGATACTGGGCTAGACGGACCTTTGGTCTGACCCAGTACGGCCGTTCTTATGTTCTTATGTTCTCCCTCCCACCCCTTTCCAGCAGTAGCTTACCTTTCATGCCCAAGGAAGGTGAGTGCTGATGCGTGAGGTGGTGGGCAGGATTAAAATTCTTTGCACAGGCCTGAACAGGCACGTACTCTAGAAGGAACTTAGCTCAACAGCTGCCAAATAAGCCATATTTTAGTTCTGTTGTTAGCCACATTTGGCTCGTGAGCCATAGTTTGTCAACCCCTGCACTAGTAGCCTGGTGGTACTTTAAAGATACATTTAGAATTGTGAGCTTTTGGGGGTAAAATCCTCTTCATCAGATAAACCAGAGTAACAGAAACCAAGAGATGCACATAACAGCAAAAGGAGTACCTGTCAATTGTAGGACCAGTGTTAATAAGGTTAATTAATGGATGTGTCCTACTCATAGCTTTTGATGTGAAAATGCAAATGTTAAAAGCAGGGTAAACTGGCTTTGTAATGTGCCAATCAGCTAATATGCCTTTATTCAAACCCACGGTAACAGCATCCAACTTGTGTATAAATTCCAGTTCAACCGTGTATCCTCAATTGTGTATTTCATTCTCAATAGAAGCAATCACCGCTACTCATAAAATGTCAGAATGTCTAAAAAAAAAATCATCTTGTAGAGAAGAACTCTGTTAGGAGATTTGGAAAATCTCACCTTATGTCTAAAATTTGTACTTTACTCTAAAAACAACCTTACAGTCTAATCAAGTCTTGGAAGAACAAGTTTATTTTTTTTTAATATTGCTGAGTGTGGAGTGAGTAATGGAAACTGGTATCGAATCCTATTTGCACTTACCTTTTTTACAAATTGGTGCTGCAGGAGACCACGAATTATCCGCTTGGCATGTAATCACATTACTGCCGACCAAGGAGTAGCCATGCATACATTCAAACATAATGGTGTTTTGATAAGTATAAGGACCAAATCCACTTAGTTTTCTCCCGTTTTTAACGTCTACATTATCGCATTTGACCACTGAAAATAGATAATATGAAAAATGTATCTGCTAAGGAATAAATAAAGCCCTCAATCACATGAAAAGCATATCTTTACACTATTTTAAAAAAATTAATGGTAGCTTTAATTCTGCATCTTCTTCTGCTCCCTTTGCCTCTGAACTAATTTTAAAGTTTATTTCTACAAAAGCTGTTTAGGAGCAGGACAAGGAGATTAACCCTCCTCCACAAATATATCAAAATGAGGCCTCAACTAAACATACCAACAGATACACAGATATTAAATCACACAACACTGCACTTAATTGGAATAATTCACAAGTTAAGGAACCCTCTTAGGTTTACTATAACCATTCTCTTTGTGACACTAAATATACCAATGACACAATTTCACTTAAGCTTTACTGTGGGTGTCCATATATCCAATATTAACTAAATGTTAATATTGCTACAAATATCACAAGGGCCAACTGTTCTGTTTGAATAGAGGTAGCAGCGCAGGCGACGGTGAGGGGGTAGGCAGCACCATTGAGCTGGTGTTGGGGGTAACTGGCTTTTAAGTTAGCTCCTCCCCAGCACCGCCCCCTGCCTGCCCTCTTCTCCCTCCACTACTTCTGTTGGAGGTAGCAAGTCGGGGGGAGGAGGTAAGCGGGTCTGTGGAGCCAGCACGCATGGGAAGCCTGCTTGAAAGCCGACTCTCTGTGTATATTGGCTCCTGTCTTCCCCCTCACCCTCTGTGCTGCTGCCCCTCTATCAGAGGCAGCAACCTGGGGGGTTGGATGGGTGGATAGCAGGCAGATCTGGTGTTCGTGGAAAGCCAGCTTTTAAGCCAGCTCCTCACTGGCAGCCCCTCTCCCCCGCTGCTTCTGATACAGTATATGTAGTTGACAAGTGCATGTAGATGACAAGGTTAACCGATAAACCCAGACTGATCAGTTAATCGTGCAGTTGTCTACATGTTGACATCGGTATCACTAAACTAATTTCCTCAGGTTCCTGGGTTGCTTAGCAATCTAAGTATAGTTTTTCCTGGGAGGAGATGGCAGAATAAGAAGTGGATGAAAAGCAAATACTACTAACCTTTGCATTGAGGAGCTGGCCCACTCCACTCTCCATTGACTCGATCATTCGTTGTACAATGAATGGAGGCCTTTCCAATAAGAGAGAAGCCTTTCTCACAGCTGTAAGTTACTGCAGAGCCAAATGCAAACTCTTCTTCACCCACACGACTATGGGATCCATGGGCGATATTAGGAGGTGGAAAACAAGGTATTGCTGAAGAAAAGAATGTCAACATGAAATTAAAGTTTACATTGACATTGAACTGAAAAGACTTTTCACTCAAAGTTATTTCAGATCCTTCCAAAAGCTATTTAGCCACCCAAAAGTCTATTTAATATTGTGTTTTAACAACATTTTATTCTGAAAGTTTTCTGCATTTAGCCTTGACTCAATCCAGTACAGTCACTGCTCAAGGAGGATGCTTCATGTAACACCAGCTTTCGAGGATGATCATAACAGAGTAGGGCCCTTCCCAAAGTTAGCCTTAGGGAGCAGAAATCTCTTGCCTGGCATCTTGAGAGGTCCTATTTGTTCTACCACCAAAAAACTAAACTAGGATGTGTGGCTGACTCAAAAACCATCTTGCACATCAGCAGCATGACTGATACACTGAAAGCATCCAAGAGATCAAATTAAGGTAGAGGCAAATTAATTCTGATTAATTCCAAAAGAGCCTGATACTTTAAGTGGACAGATTTGGGAAGGATCAAGACTAAATGAAGTCATTATTATGCCTTTTACTTAGTGAGAAGCAAAGATTATACAGATACAATAGCAAAGAGTTGCCATAAAGCCTGTTGGATTATATGTGAAAAATATAAAGGGGTTTTTAAAACGCCGATTCTGCAGGAGTCATCCAGACACCCCGGTCAATCTCAGTATGATTTCATTTCTTTCCCCAAACAAACAGAACCAAGTTGTACTGTCATTTAGATTAAATGTCAAAGTGAGAACAGACTGACTCCACTATAGCACCGGCTACATTCCTCCATCCCCAGACACGAACTGTTCTTAAAACAATAAATCAGCTTACCTTCGCAAAATGGAACCGCCTTATCCCAATCAACTCCACTTCCACTAATCACACAACGAGAAGAAGCTGGTCCAATCATTCTGTACCTAAAGAAAAAAGACTCAAGTTTGTTACTCAAGTGAGCAAAGAACTAGTTATCAGCCCAGAAAGATGGAACATGGTTTCTTTCAAGCAGCAGGTGGAGACAAACCACTGAAAAAGGGATCCACTTAAAACTATCGGACCCAGGAACACTAAGGCCGGGTCGACACTACACCCATGGGTCAGTGTCACATTGTCGCTCAGGGGTGTGAAAAATCCATCCTCCTGGGTGACAGTTATACTGGCCTAACCCCCCATGGAAACCACGCTATGGCAACTTCTCTCATCAACACAACTAGCACCTCTTGTAGAGATGGACAGCTAGGCTGATGGACAGGCTTTCCCTTTCCTACAGGGGCATCTTCATACGTAACCGTACGGTGGCACAGCTGCATTTGAGGACCAAGCCCTAAGTCGTTAAAGGCGACAAAGGGCTCTAAATACAGTGACCATATTTTCTGAACCAAAAATGGGGCACATTAGTCTCGCTCCCTGACTCTTTATGCCCCGCCCACCTGCCACAGGAAATCCCATCCGCAGGAGTAGTATTTCCAGGATCAAGATGGACACGTGACCTGAAGTAAAGGATGTCACATGACCATGCTGAGAACTCCTCCCACAGACCTCTACCAACAGGGATGGGTTTGGGCCCAAAGAAGCCCCTCGTGCATCTACACTGAAATTGCATTAATCCAGGCCCCAAACCTTGGGGCCCAGGACACTTTAGCGCTAAGGAACCAACCTCGACTCAAGACGAGATCCAAGGTCCTATTAGTTTCCTGTGTAGATGCAGCCCTATTTGACTCATGGCCTGGGAGTCATCAAAACTATCCCACAATTTCATGGGACAACTTCCTTAGCCCTCTTAACAGATGATGCTTGCCAGCTCGAATCAACTGGGAATCGAAGGTGGCTGGAGCAGCTCCCAACCTGTGCGCACAGGGAGCTGTTCCTGCAGAGCTCTGCTGCCACTTACATGCTCGGGGGGAGAAATACAAATCAGAAATGGGCAGCATTTTCTTGTGCAAATACAAACTATCACCTGAAGGAGAGAAGAGGCATTCCCATGGCACTTTTACAGCAGCGAGTGCAAGGTATTTATGCGCCAGATATGCTGAACTGTTGTATGATTTTAGGGCTTCAGTCGCCATCTTAAAAGAGCGTGCCGATGGTGCTTGTTTTAAAAAACCTGTTATTTAAATGTGTGACAATTCCTTAGGGGAAAAACATGTTTCCTACTCTGTGTTTTACCCACGCTCTGTCACATATTTCATGTTACAGCAATTTCAAAGGACAACCTTGCACGTTGCTCATTTTAAGAACACTTTCACTGCAGATCTGACAAAAAATGAAAGAAGATATCAATCTGAAATCTCTAAAGATAGCTACAGCACTTGATTCAAGGTTTAAAAATCTTAAGTGCCTACCAAAATCTGAGGGAAAAGGTATGGAACATGCTTTCAGAAGTTTTAAACAAACAACACTCCGAATCCTAACAGAATACGACCCACCAAAAAAGCTGCAAAGACATGTCCTGTGGAATGGTGGCTGAAGTGTGACCCTATCCTCCAAAGCACTTGCAGCTCCCTCCCAGCTTAGTATCATCTGCAAATTTAATAATTGTACTCTCTATGCCAATATCTAAATCATCTGTGAAGATATTGAACAGAACCGGTCCTAAACCAGACCCCTGCGGAACCCCACTTGTTATGCCCTTCCAGCATGACTGCGAACCATTAATAACTACTCTCTAAGAACAGTTATCCAGTCAGTTATGCAGCCAGCTTATAGTAGCCCCATCTAGGTTGTATTTTTCCTAGTTTATTGATAAGGTCATGCGAGACCATAGCAAATGCTTTACTAAAGTCTAGGTATACCACATCCACCGCTTGTCCCTTATCCACAAGACTATTATAGTCCATTACTAATTGAAAGATTAACTAGGTTAATCATGCAACAACTCTAGTAAGCACTAAAAGCCTCCTCTCTGAATGTACAGTTGTGTCACATTGTCTCAGCTCAGACAGCTCGTGTTACCATTTCTCCTGCTTTTGCCAGCGCTGCCAGTGGTGGGCAGCCAGAAGTACTGCATTTCCAAGTCCAGTTAGCTCAACGTCCAGCTAAACCAGTACAAGAAGTGGAAATATACGGGCAAAACTGACCCTTGGTCTTTACTACGGAATGCGCTAAGCATTTGATTACGTTCATTTCTCCAAGTTCTCTCCCTTCAATCACCTGTGGAGGCAGGGAAGACCAAGGAGAGATAAGAGCAATAGCTTTTGGCCATGCTGCTGCTATGTTGCAAAACAGAATTACTCCCAAAAAGACAATCTGCCGACACATGTAACGGTAGACAAGACAGCTTCCCTGAGCTGTGACTACTTCATCACGTCCCTTTTCAATATTTAAAACTCAAGCATTTTTACTATCCATGATCTAATCACTGCTCTTCAAACCCAGACAACTCATAGGCTTGAACAATTCCTAAACCTGAGGCCCCTCTAGGCTACTGCATAGAAATCCAGCAAGTCCTACAATAGGAGCTCAGACACTTCTGTGGGTCAAACCCACTTTGTTCAGAAGGCAGGGTAATGACCATCTACAGGACAATGGATTTCATTCCCACCTCTGTATTCCACAGGACACCTCACCCAATGTATTCTGGGTTTGTTTCTTTCATCACCTTCCTTTGAACCATTAGGGAAGGCCATGGCTGAATGGGGGGAGCGGGCAGGAGTCTGAGGTGACACTAAGCACTCTCACCTCAATGCTTAGCTTGTGGGTTCTCACTCAGGGTATATGAGTATGTGGAGTCGGCAAAATTTTTCTCCCAGAGCAAACTGGTAATGACATTGGGTCATCCTCCCCCGTTAGCATGAGAATGTAGATCACTTGCCAGGATTACTTCAGTATCTCTCATGTCATTGTTTCCCCATCTTGATATTAATACTGACACCTATAAGCAAGGCTCGACAAACTATGCAAAACCCTACTTGCCAGACAAAAAAGGGACTTGCCGCCACCACCTCTCCCCCCCCACCACCACACAGGCGTGTACCACCGGAGGACGGGACGGCATGTTTGTTTACGTCAGTTATCATGACCGTGGTTATCATTGTTTGTCATTCTTTGATGTTTTGATGCGGTCTCAAAAACTTCAGTAAAAGTTACAATATTTTCATAGGTGTGCACATCACATTTCATTAGGGTATGCACCCAAAGAATTTTTTAAAATATACTCTTTCACCTCCCACGAGCCAAGAGCCCAAGTAATACCAGCAGGGGCGGATGAGAGTTTTGCGGGGCCCAGGGCAGCACAATATCGCGGGGCCCCCCCTTTGAAGAAAAAACAGAAAAAAGGGGTCCCCCCCGTGCCCACTCCTCCAGTAGCCACACACTGATCATATGAGCTACCCCTCCTCATTCCCTCTCCTAACACCTCCCTCTCTACACACCTGTCCTGCCTCTGTCCTCTGGTGTGGGTCCCTCCCCTGTAGGTGTCTGCCCTTCTGCTTCACCCCCAGAATCCCCTGGCAGCTGCACCTTCCCCTGCCCCCTCCTGGCGCCTCCCCCTTCCCTCACTGCTTTTACCCCCTTTGCCCTCTTTTTTCCCTGATGCCCACCACCCTCACACACTCTGCCCCTGTGCCCTCACACATGCCTTGCTCCATCCATACCTTCCTCATGCCCACCCCTTCTTTCAAGCCTTCTCCCAGCACCTCCCCTTCCCCCCCCTCTAGTCCCCAATGCCCTTACCCTCTCCTCTCCCAGCAACACCCTGTCCCCGCTATTACTGACACCTCCCCTCCTTCCCTTTTCCTTATTGTCTCCACTTGGCCCCCACCCCCCTGGCATTTGTCTCTCCTGCCCCCCTATCCCCTGCTGCCTTCCCTTTTCTTCTCCTGACCTGCGCCCCCCCCAGCACAAGCCCCTTCCCCCTATTTTTCTCCCTTCCCCTCCCCGGCTTGCCTTCCAGTTTGTGGGGCTGCAGGAGCCTTTTTTAATCCGGAGGTCACTGGCTGTGACATCATGACACTACGTCACACCAGCGTCCTGACGTCTGCCAGCATCACGCCCTCTGACTTGCGCCCCACCTCTTCACGCCAGAGCTGCACGCAGACAGCCAAGCGGCAAGAATGGCTGCACTTCCCCCTTCCCAGCGGTGCACCACTCCTCCACCCAGACGGCGGATTGGATGGGACCGGGCTGCCCGTAGTGCTGGCTTCGGCCTGCTCATCATGACGGCCCTCCAGACCAGTCTGCCCCTGCATTAGGGTGTGCCAGGGCATTCTATTTTGTCTAGTCTGTAGCTACTCGCCTGCTGGTAATATATACTCACCATGGGACAGAATATTTGTAGAGCCCTGCCTATAAGGGAGGGACAAAGATTTGTTTTCGTGGAGCAGGAAGAGATCTGCTTCTACCTGGTGCTGCCTCTTATGGACAACATTCAGCCACTAGCACCCAGACAGAAAGCCCTGTAACAAGAGAGGGAATGAGCGCCACATGATCCCTGAGGTGGAACTCTCACTCTCTCATGACCCAACACCTTCTGGATGGTCTCCTCATGCCTCTAGGTTAGGATTTTGAAAAGAGACCGACCAAACTAAGCTTCCCATCTCCCACTGAATGACAGCTGTAGCTGGATGGCTCTCTTCTTTTGACTCCTTTAGGAAAAAAGTCACAGCTGTAATTCTTAACCAGGGATCAGCCCATAACTACAAATTTATGGCACCGCACCCACTTAAGTTCTTGAAATTATACTAGGCTTTCTAGCCTCATTTTACCAGACATCAGCAGTTTTACACCACTCTAGGCTCTGTTAATTAGTCAAAAGCAATAATGTGTCACTCACCCATCATCACAGGAGAAGCTGACTGTTGCACCAAACTGGAGATTGGTGAATTCAGTCCTGCCGTTTGCTAGTTCTAGTGGTCTACATGGTTTTCCTAGAAAAGAACAAGAGTAATATTAATCTTAATACATTATCTTAAGAGGTAAAAGGAAAAGGGGATATGCTAACTTATAGCCCCTAATATAACAAATACTGGCAAATCAAAGCCAGTGGTCTTTGAGTCCAGTGTCTGGCCCATATTACGGAGGTCAGCACCAAAGGCAAGAGGAAAGCTTAAAACACACAATATGGATAATTATGAATTATGCCCCCAGGGAAGCGAGGTCCAGATCCTGAAAAATCATTTTCTCAACTATATTCATGTGGTGACACCCAATGATCTCAACGGGCAGCAATTACAAATAAAAAGTGACATAACAGCAGGAAGAAAAGGATAGCTGGCATAAATTAGAAGTAAAAAAATGATATAGAAACTAAAGAAATAGTGAAAGAGTCACAACTGGCTTGTTTACAGACAATAGGCAGGTTCTGAAATGCGTTAGGAACAAAAGAAATCCTAGCACAATATGCAGTAATAATTGTTTTACAAAGTATGCCTTGTGGGTGATCATTTGAAAAATTATTTACTGGTCAATATCCTCCTTCTAAAACGTGTGACAGGACCCCATGTAGAGTGTTAAGATTTCTCTGTCAAATGTTAACACACAGCAAACCACAGCAGAAGTCTTTCCGCAACCCTTGTAAGCTGCTGGGGACCATCCTCTCACTGGTGTTTTGCCTTCTGTGCCAGAGATTGCAAGGGGAAACAGTGCCAGCTCAACAAGGGCACTGACAAGTGACCCACACGGAGGCTGCAGCACTGAGGGCTGAATCCAATCTGGTCTCCTGAGCTAGGGAAAACTCTCAAAGCAGATAAGGCATGTACAAATTGCGACCTGTTAACTAAGACCTGATTGATGCAGCAAAACAAGCGCCACTGAAGTCACTAGGACTTAACGAGTTCTTAAGTGCTTTGCTCAATCAGTACCTATACATTTTCTCAAGCCAGCAGGCCAGAGTCTAAGGCTATTCAAGAAGCCCTATCAGTATTAAATAAGACAAATTAAATCATAATTTAAAACAACAAAGCAGAGTTAAGGTTCATCAGCATCCAACTATACATATCCTTACTAGTGCACGTACTAGGTAAGACCAAACCTGCAACAATCTTCATGTCCTCTTAGCAATGAAGCCAAGAGAAGTATTCTAAGTTTTGTTATAAACTAGTACTTTGAGGTATTTGTGATGCTCTCTATGCTATCAACAAGAAAAACTATGAACACAATTAATTGAATTGCAGCAATGTTCTGTAGCACCTGCTTTAATGAAGTTACAAGACGTCACATGTAAGACCCAATATCATTAGAGAAACTAAAAAGTACTTAAGCTTAGATGTCCTTTATTTTATACTTCCATTCAAAACTGACCACCTTTAGAAAGGTGGAGTGTCATATTCCAGTAACTTAAGTGGTGCATGCTAAATGCCTCCCAGGCACAGGAAAATTATGTGGATAGTGAGAACTGCACTATTCTTCAGTTTATATCTACCACTAGATAACAAAGTGTTGATGTTCTACAAAGACAGATATTTAACTCCTGACCTAAAAACAAGGAAGAAATGTGGCAAACCTATCCCTCCTCTTAATCCTGTTTGAGAACAAAAGGCTGAAGTTTCCAGAATTTTGTATTTTACCTGCTGTTAAAGCAGCCTACAAAAATACGGAAGCATTCTGCTACTTTTTTTAAAAATGTACTACTACTATAAACAAAGAACTGCCTAGAAAGTGTTTATGGGTATCAGTGTTAAACTGTGAACCACTTGCCCAACAAAAGAGAGTCTCCTAACTATATCAAGATGACTTGCACGACAACTGAAATGGAAAAGCAACGATACTCACCTTCACAAAAATCAGGATCTGATGACCAGTCTGAATTTGCAAGACATGTAACTAAAGGAGACTTCCCCCTGCTCAAAACATACCCTGAGCGACAGGAGTATTTCACTTTGGTCCCAACGGCATACGAATCTCTCACTTGCTCAGCCAACTCAGCAAAACTGAACCTTGGAGGAGAACCACAATCACCTAGCAACAGAGACAGACAAGGAAGAGAAAAAGTTAACTTTGAAAGACATTCGGTAGTCTTCTCAAAAATGAGTATCTTCTTATTTTACTGGGGACAATTTGGATATAGAGGTTGAACCTCTCTAGTCCAGCATACTCTGGTCTGGCAACATCCGTGGTCTAGCATGATTTTAGTTAGTTGGATGTCCTCTTATTGCAGGTGTGGCCAAGATTCCCACAGTTCCATAAAGTTTGTTTTCAGCCACCTGTCCTGGCTCTCAATGTTCCGTGCTCTTATTTAAGGAAAAAATAAAAGTTAAAGACACCAGCAAACAGTGCAAGTGCTGGTGATGATACTATGCATAAGCATGACATTTATGCTTTATCTACTTATTTCCTTGTGCCAATATAGTAAAACTGCGTAACACCACAATTTATTATGTATCAGTACAATCAGACATTATTAGAGCTGCTTTGCAAGTATTGTTTCATGTATTCACCTCAGTGAAATAAAAATAAGAGAGACCAATTTACTTTAATATTGACTTCCTGTAATTTGGCAAATTCCCTGGTTTGGCCACCGGTTAGGTCCTGAGGATACCGAACTAGAGAAGGTCAATCTGTTCTGGTTTTCTTTAGAGCCTTGAATCTACTGTGAATAAACTTGATGCACAACTGCAACTATAATGTAAAAATTTAATGTACTATGTATACATAGCAACTATTGTTTTGCACAATGTGCATACCTTGCATTACAAGAGACTCCTCCACTGTACCGGTTTTATTATTTATGACAGCACCAGCTCAGTGACTAGCAAGCACACAAGGTTACATGAGAGAAGGTGGCATACAGGGTACCGTACACCAAGGGAGCAATCTATGGAATAGTGCGTGAAACGTGGATTTAGAAAGAAACGAAAACAGTTGGTGAACAGCAATATCTAGACAGATTGGTTTTTCTGTTTTTCATTATTCAAGAAACAAGTGAAAACAACTGGTGAACAGCAATATTTGAGACAGATGTCTTTCATCTATATCTATTTCAGTGTGTGTTAGTCTGTGTGTCTATTTGTCAATTTGTTCAAGAATTTCTCCTACACAGTAAGAGCTAGGACTACCAAATTTGGTAGGCAGCTTCCTCTTACCCTAACTTAAACCAAGGTCAGGGTTTGGTTGTGCCTGAAAAATGTGAAGTGCTGGGAATGGGACTGTTTTGGATAAGATGGAAAGGGAGCAGAGAGTGGAGGGAAGTGAAAGAGAAAGGCACAGAGAAGAGGGACACAAGATTGAGAGTGGCCATTGGGGGGAGCCACAGAAAGAAGAGTAGCCAGCAGGGCTGAGGCTCTGCCATCTTGCTTGTCTCAAGACTGGGTAAGGAACTCTCCTGCCCCAAACCCGGAGCATGCCTTCCCCCCACCCAGTGAGAGCCTGCAGGATGTGTGGTGGGGGACCCCTCTAGAGGAGGGGTCAGTCCCCAGAGCCTAGACCTTCCCCGAACAGCCTGCAGGCCAAGGTGGTGAAGGGGAAAGGCTGATGGAGGGCAGGCAGCTGAAGCGAGGGGAAGCCCCTGGAATCCGGCCCTCACATTGCCCTTCAGCCTGCAGGGTAGAGGAGCAGCTAGAGCAGAGAGCAGCCCCCAGACCCTCCCCAAACAGCCTGCAGGATGTAGTGGGGGGAACCCACTAGACGGGGGAGGAGGGAATAGAGAGAATGCACCAAGCCTCGCTCCTCTGCAAGAACCTCCAGGCTGCTGGAGACAAGGGGCAGCCCTTTGAATCTTGCCCCTGCCCCAGAGAGCCTGCAGGTTGTTGCAGGGGAGCGGGTCTGCTGGAGGCCAGGGACAGCCCCTAGAGCCTCACCCACCCAACAAGACATCCTGCAGGATGCAGGGGGCTGCTGGAAGGAGGCAGCTGAAAGGGGAGCAACCCTCAGAACCTGGCCACTCCTCAGACAGCCTGCAGGGTGGAAGGGGGACTGGAGGGTGGGGCCAGCCTGCAGAACACTGCCTCCTTCAATAGGCTGCAGGAAAAGGTGACCATTGCCCCCAGCAAGGCCTCCGGGGGAGCAGCTGCATGCTGGGGGTTACCCTCACCCTGACAGGCAACAGGATGGGGGAGTAGAGATGTTATGCAGTTGTTTAAACAATTAGGCCAAGTCTACAGTTGCAGCTTCTTGCACGTGCAAGTATTCTTGTGCAAGCAAACATCCACACTGCCATGTGTGAGCTGTGCTTTTGTGCAAGAGCATCCATGGCAGTGTGGACGCTCTCTTGTGCAAGACAGCTCCAATGGCCATTTTAAGCCATAAGGTTTTCTTGAGCAAGAACCCCCTGCTGAGCATCCACACTGCCCTCTTGCACAAGAGCCCCTGTGCAAGAGGGCTTATACCTGTTAAAAAAAGAGCATAGCTCTTGCACAAGAAGCCCTCTCTTACCACGCCATACTGTAAATCTTCTTGCACAAGAGCGGGTGGGCAGTGTGGACACTCTGCGGATTCTTGCAGAAGAACAGCCGTTCTTGCGCAAGAACCC